CCGTAGTCTTATACATATTTAGGAGGGGATTTAACGCATATCTGTATATCTCTTACATGAAACATGCACACCTAAATGCTATCAGCCCGGATCGGGTGGTCAGACTCGCTGACTTGGTTGACAAATGTTATCGTATCCCAACTGCTAGATCGATGCTCATGATGTCAATCACTGGATTGTCTGGTCCAGACTCATTCATTTACAAACTGTCGCCATATAGCTGGAATAATATAGCTGAGTACCGCGTTAAACAACAAACAAACAAACCCACCAATCCGCTTGTACCCCTGTGTTGGATCGATGCCATGTTGCAAAATATTATCTCAGGTGCAGAGAATCTACACCTAACAGTTTGTGTGAATATGCACGGGCACCGCGATGTCACCGCGTGACAACCCCGATCTGGTTGCACATGTGAACGTACCAGTCACCCTGAGAGGGGAATCTCAACAAAATCTGCAATATTTCAGCTGAACGCCGAACGTTTTCAGCGTCTTGCATTCGTACGTAGGGCGGTGTGATGCTTGAGCTCGTCTTATTACCCAGCGTTTACATATTTCTATCACCCCTATGAAAGTAATAGACTATGCCAGCCGTGTCTATTCACAGATATGGCGAAGGATTCTAGCGCTTATAAGAACAAGTGAGAATGTGAGGTGTTCTTCTCAGCAAATCCAAAGCAAATCGGATGCGTGATTTGCCTGCCCAAAAGCGCCGACCATATATGTCTATAAAAACAGATTGCAAACATCTGTCACATACCGAACCAAAACAAATACATGAGCTGTTCGCCCCTTTGCGGAAGTAGACTAGGTCGGCGCTTTATCCATTTCTCACGTGCACACACATTGATACAATGTGTGAAGCTCATTCCTGGTGTCCCCTGCCATGATATTGCCGACATATTGCTGCTAAAAGCGGCGTAAGACTAAACTCACTCAGAAAGAGGATATTGCTATAGGTAGAGCTAATCACACTTTCATGGCTGGATAGAATAGGATAAAGCATTACATCGTGACTCGTACATAATAACGCTGACTCTATCTGTAATTGAAAATGAATATAAATACGCTTTATGAATATAGATAGGTTATTTATTAAAAGTAGATGGGTATATACAGGATACACGCTAACAACATTAATCCCAAACCAAAGGACAATAAGACACGACAATTGTATTTGGTGCGTAACTAATAGTAGCTGTAGAAATTGAGTGAATGAGTGAGTGAGTAACTGAGAATGTTTTTACGCCGCTTTTAGCAATATTCCAGCAATATCACGGCAGGGGGAAACAGAAATGGGCTTCACACATTGTACCCATGTGGGGAATCGAACCCGGGTCTTCAGCGTGACGAGCGGACGCTTTAACCACTAGGCTACCCCACCGCTCCCTATAGAATATGAACGCTATTGATAATCTTATGACTCTTAAGGAATCTGATTATCACGACGTTAGATTTGATTTCGAAGTTCGCCATTACTTTGTCGTTGTTTTTATCAAAACAGATAATTCGTTGTGTAACTGAGGAACAATTTCTGTAACCGTCGAACATTAGATATACAGAATTACTGCCTGTGTCTTTACAAGTCAAAACATTGATTATACAACAGTCTCGTTTCCTGTTGACTGGGTTCCGTCCTATTGTGCAACTTAGTACAATAACCAGTCCAGAATTTTGAGACCAATTCATTTAACTAGATACATAAATATTAATCAGTATTATTTGATACATCTAAGAACTTGTATTTTGCAACACTATGTTCCTAATAATCCTTGCAAACACGTCGTGCAGCGTGCTCTGTCGTACAGCGAGCTCTGACAAACGGAAACCTTGAAATCGTGGAAATCTCAAAGCGAGGCTCTGCCGCTAGAAACGTTTGGCGGTCTGGTACGGAATTGATATTATATCAATCACATTGTGCGTTATAGAACTACACTGAATAAGCGCAAAACACACATAACAGGTGTAACCAGTGAACCAGATGCATTGTGAATCATTTTACGACCTCATCAAACATGGGCAGTTAGGCCATGCTTCCTACACCTCGCGATAAAATATAGAAACACGATGTTATTAAAGTTTAAAATTAAAATTCATTTGTAAATACCATTTTCTAATGAAACAAGGAATTAGAAATTCAGTGTAACCATAGTTGTTTGTGATGTCTATTTTCACTTTCACACGAGATAATTCGGATCGGCTGAAAAGTAGGTCATTGTCTGTATAGGTTAATGAGACTCATGTTTCGGTTTGCGGTTCATTATACTGTCTGATTAACGCAAACTTTGTATATTCGGATACTGATAGTGAATAATCCTATTCAAATAGTTGGAAAAAACTGTTCATCAATGCATGAGGATAAACACATTTTATGACAACATATAGTTAACATCTGTTCATTATACATACAAGTTCAGAAAAAAACACATTTAACAAACAAGTTATTGTGTATGATAGTTGATATACATAATCAATAATGAATACTCATATATCTAAACATGGGATCATTATGCATACACAGTGCAAATGTGTCTCCGTCGGTATATATTAAATTGTTTACGTTAACGACCGATAAAACTATAATCTATCTAGATCAATCCCTACAGGTATAAGACAACTGTATCAAATAGCGAGGCGTAAATGTTCCTCACATTAATAAGGAGAGGACTGACTGACTAACTGAGTATGGTTTTACGCCGCTTTTATCAATATTCCAGCAATATCACGACGGGGAACACCAGAAATGGGTTTCACATATTGTACCCATTTGGGATTCGAAACCGGACCTTCGGCGTGACGAGCGAACGCTTTAACCATTAGGCTACCCCACCGCCCAATAAAAAGAGGAACGATTACATACAAGCAGTTTACTGTCAATGGTGTTGTGTACTGACCAATGAAAATGTTTGACCTTCATAGTAATCGCCTTCCTGTGTGTTGTGTTGGTGTAAATCTTTACCGACTGTCGTATTATCACATAGTTATAACTTATACAATAGAATTTCACCGAGCGCGATGGGTTTGATGGGTGTGTCCATATCTCGTCACTATAGCCTGCCAAGTAGCTGTGAGTGTTTAATCTCACATACATGTGTATACACCTTTACTGTTAGATTTGCTTGTAGGTATAAGGTATGTAATGAAAACGTTATGAACATTTCAGTTCCATTTAGGTTTAGCTAATAATTATATCAGTGAAACTCCAGTACTTATATCCATTAATTGAAACATATTGAATGTATTTTACTCTGCTATATTGTACGTCAGTGTGGAAAACCTGAAGCAATGTCACGTTACCAATCGAGAAAGCATCACGAGTAAAACTATCCCGAAACATTGTATATGTTTTAAAATTATATCAGAATGCGTGACGTGGAACAGGTTTCTTTGTCAGCTGCAGATTGATGGGATTTTGTTTCTTTGCGTGAATATTGATAAATACATTCCCTGAACAAGGTAACCGCCTGATATTATTGACTTAACATTTGTCGGTTTGAATTTCGATATTTGGATTTTGCTTTCATTCATATGTTATTCTCTTTTCGTTGTGGGCCTGTAAAATATTCACTTAGGCAATGTTTTAGATTTCTAGATATTACAGTTATTTTCGACTCATATTTGTTATGAAGTTCCAAAGTGCATAATCAATATTATATATGCTTGTATTATGCTGGTAAATATGTTGCTTGTTTCTTTGCCCAGTCCTTACCAACGTCTTCAGATTCCTTAGCTTTTGTAGCTAGTTTGTTGTATTCTTGTGTTACCTTTCCAATATAATCGCTAGGAATAGCAATTATATCCATTTCTGAATTATTATTTGTGTTCCTTTGACACAACCATTTAGACTACTGTTCACATAAGTATATAACAATGGTCGAATCAGCGAAACTAACGAGGACTGTGAAAAAGCTGCTGAAGAATGTATACACCCAGACGAAATTGTCAAATGACGAGAATTACCACAAGGCTTATATATTATCTTTGACGTGAAATCATTCAAAACAATTCTATATTGCTTCTTTGGAGTTGTGAAGGAAAGTATAGTCTTGCTCCTAGTTCAATGAATGAATAACCTAGAAGAAATATCAAATATGATGTGTCCACAATAATGGTATGCGTATTAGGAAAACTAGCAGAGAATACCTTCATTACAAGTTGATACCGAGTATTTCTTAGCGTCTCCCTACACCATGATATATAAATGTATGTGGAAGACATAACATTTCCCTTTAGTTAAATACGAGATTGTATCTTCATCTACACCCTGGCAGGCATATCCTGTACATCCATCATCTATACTAATCCTGTTGCTATGTCTACACAAGGTAGGATACATGCACTGTCTATCATTTCACTCTGACCATCTGTAGCGCATGCTGCCAAACACCTGTAGGGAATATGATCATACACATATCGACCATATCATTGAAATAGGTAGGTCGGCTATACTTACTAATGCAGGTTGTGTTAACCCAATCCTTCCCGAAAAGGTGCATGTGTGTTGTTTTTGCCGCAATTCAGGTATATCTTTGTCACCAGTTAATGGTAGTCTTGGCAACGATTCAAACATTTGAGGTGTTGGGAGACATATTCTGTCCCCAAATCACGAGGTGGTAAACATTTCCCCCCGACCTTTACAACTGGTATTCAACGGTCAGAACAGGGACCCCTTTCTCAAAGCTATCGTAGCGCTACGACTGCCGTACGTTGTATACTGTAACATAGACTTACGACAGTCGTAGCTACGATAGCTTTGTGAAACGGGGCCTGGTCCCCATTGACATATCCCTGTGACAAAATGGGTTGGGTAGTCATGATGACTGGGCTGAAACGGTGTCATGGTACAATGAAAGCCTGGGGTGAGTTTATAGGCAGCAACAACAATAAACAAACTAACTAACTAGTCAGCCATACATTTAAGACTGTCGTATTAATTCACGGACATTTTCGGAAGTCTGGTATTCGTGGAGAATTTGAATAAACATGGTGACGACATACCTCATTCCGTATCCATATGGTACGATATACCTCATTGACAGGTTGTTGTCTGGATCCCTGCGAACACACCGTATGTTAATTTGTGCGACGATATCCTGGTTTATCTATATTCGCGGTTGGCTGGAAATAACAGCTGTGTTTCCCGACAGGAGACGATTAGGATTCATTCATTCATTCATTCATGCATCCATTCAATCATTCATTCACTTATATAATTACTGGAAGATAAATTATATAATGTTTATCTTTTATAGATTTGGATGTCTATCTACTTCAATGCCGGTCCGTTTGAACATATGCCACTCAGTCAGGCATCGATTCAACAATACAGCCCAGCTGTTCAGCAACATTGCACGATTACTCTGTCTAGGGACCGGTTACAGTGTGGTCTTCCTGTTACGGACGTGACATCTAAATATCACCCAGCTGTCCAGGGGGATGTTGCATCTGGGTCGTTAGAGGTCACCGACCTTGGAGCCATGACCTTCAGATATCCAGGCACCTACCTTGGTTTGAAACAGACCATGGGCTGAAGAGCATGGTTTTAAAATATAGATCCTTATGCACAGGTAATAGCTATAAGCTGCACGTCAAATTTGTCACGTTAAGTTATTGAATAGTTATAAGTGAAATTTATCAAACATTGGCATATATTTATGCATATGCTTTAAAGTTCCGAAACAGAAACATTATGATAGTGTTCCTCCAACTGTACGATTGCGCAAACATGTGAAATATTTGATTTTTTATTTCAAGAGGTACAACTAATTGCACAGGTAACACATGAATAACAGTCATATCAAAAAGTCCTTTAATATTTTGCTTCGCAAAGAACTATGTCCATTAGGAGGTATGTAATGCTGATTGAGTAATGTAATTGAAAAGTGCATCCATGGTAATGTAATATGTTACACAATCGATACGGAGTAATTAGCAATACATGGCGAAATTCTGTATGACCTCTCAGCACGGTTGGGGTGGGGTGGGGTGGTGGGTGGGGATGGGGGTTTACGGATGGAGTACAGTGGCCATAACTCCACAATGTTTTAAAAAGGGGCTTCCAAACGTGCAAGGTATCATTGGATTTGATTTTTTGACTTGGTATTTAACGCCGCACTCAACAATATTCCATCTATATGGCGGCGTGGTATCATTGGAACCCTAGTGGTATCATTGGAACCCTAGTGAGATGGAAAGAAAAGAGCGTATCATTGGAACCCTAGTGAGATGGAAGAAAGAGGTATCATTGGAACCCTAATGAAGGGGTATCATTGGAACCCTAGTGAGATGGAAGAAAGAGGTATCATTGTATCATTGGAACCCTAGAGAGATGGAAGAAAGAGGTATCATTGGAACCCTAGTGAGATGGAAGAAAGAGGTATCATTGGAACCCTAGTGAGATGGAAGAAAGAGGTATCATTGGAACCCTAGTGAGATGGAAGAAAGAGGTATCATTGGAACCCTAGTGAGATATCATTGGAACCCTAGAAAAGAGAAGAGGTGGAGATATCATTGGGAGCCCTAGAGATGGAGAGGTATCATTATCATTGGAACCCTAGTGAGATGGAAGAAAGAGGTATCATTGGAACCCTAGTGAGATGGAAGAAAGAGGTATCATTGGAACCCTAGTGAGATGGAAGAAGAAAGAGGTATCATTGGAACCCTAGTGAGATGGAAGAAAGAGGTATCATTGGAACCCTAGTGAGATGGAAGAAAGAGGTATCATTGGAACCCTAGTGAGATCATTGGAACCCTAGAAGGAAGAGGTATCATTGGAACCCTAGTGAGATGGAAAGAAAGAGGTATCATTGGAACCCTAGTGAGATGGAAAGAAAAGAGGTATCATTGAACCCTAGTGAGATCGGGAAGAAAGGAGGTATCATTGGAAACCCTAGTGAGATGGAAGAAAGAGGTATCATTGGAACCCTAGTGAGATGGAAGAAAAAGGGTATCATTGGAACCCTAGTGAGATGGAAGAAAGAGGGTATCATTGGAACCCTAGTGAGATGGAAGAAAGAGGTATCATTGGAACCCTAGAGATGAGATGGAAGAAAGAGGTATCATTGGAACCCTAATGAGAGATAGAAGAAAAGAGGTATCATTGGAACCCTAGAGAGATGGAAGAAAGAGGTATCATTGGAACCCTAGTGAGATGGAGATATCATTGGAAGAAAGAGGTATCATTGGAACCCTAGTGAGTTGGAAGAAAGAGGTGGAAGAAAGAGGTATCATTGGAACCCTAGTGAGATGGAAGAAAGGGTATCATTGGAACCCTAGTGAGATGGAAGAAAGAGGTATCATTGGAACCCTAGTGAGATGGAAGAAAGAGGTATCATTGGAACCCTAGTGAGATGGAAGAAAGAGGTATCATTGGAACCTAGAGATGGAAGAAAGAGGTATCATTGGAACCCTAGTGAGATGGAAGAAAGAGGTATCATTGGAACCCTAGTGAGATGGAAGAAAGAGGTATCATTGGAACCCTAGTGAGATGGAAGAAAGAGGTATCATTGGAACCCTAGTGAGATGGAAGAAAGAGGTATCATTGGAACCCTAGTGAGATGGAAGAAAGAGGTATCATTGGAACCCTAGTGAGATCGAAGAAAGAGGTATCATTGGAACCCTAGTGAGATGGAAGAAAGAGGTATCATTGGAACCCTAGAGAGATGGAAGAAAGAGGTATCATTGGAACCCTAGTGAGATGGAAGAAAGAGGTATCATTGGAACCCTAGTGAGATGGAAGAAAGAGGTATCATTGGAACCCTAGTGAGATGGAAGAAAGAAAAATCAGGACATTGCTTGGTTTAGGGTGTTTGCATTACAGGCTGCGCTCTGTCGAAGAGAAATAATATAGTTCAGGGAATGTAAGGCAGACCATTGTTAATGCTTTGGACTGCGGAATTTGACCTCGTCATGACCACGCATCGGTCTTATCTGCAGAGTTGCAATGCTTGAATATTTAAAAGGCTGATGAAAACAGAACCGGTAATATTTATTGATACTATGGCAGTCATTAAAGTGATTGAAGCCATACATATGAATTCAAATTATATAAGCAAGGATATTATATGGTGCTTATCCAGGGTAGTAAGATTGTTGATAGGAAGCCAAAGAATGCCAGTTCATAGCATCCCACATTTTCTTCTTGGTCCAAAGTAGCCCAGCCATAAAGTGTCGTCATCGTCGTACGAAGGAAACGGTATCATTACCTTGATTCTCTTTTATGCATGGTGAATTTAATGCATAAACGTTTATCAGCATGATAGACATTTCTCAAAAAAACTGGTCAGTTTGTAAATGGAAATAGAATAAAATCTTAAAACAGCTGTCTAATCCTCTGAGGATTTGGTTGTATTCATTAGCTAATGTTGAATGAAATACTTCCTTGGCAAACTCCTTTCCTTTTTACACTTGTTCTGCGCCCGAATCCCCATGAAGGAGAGACAGATAGTCACTTGGTTACAGAAATAGCATTTGGTTACAGAGCATTTGTCCTATATCTGAAACCCTGCACAGAAATAGACACATGTAACTGAGCACCTGCATTACACGTGAAACCTAAGATGGAAAATTAAAATGAATAACAAGAATTCCCATTGTAATAAAAGTGCTTTTTAAACATGTTTTTCCTTGTATTTCAGTTTTGGAATATACTACACAGACCTAAAGTAGTTATAGTGTTAGTATCAGTTTTCGGAAGGATGTGTATCATTGCGAATGTAAATGTAATACTCGAAAAAGTACCGTCCTTCAAGAGCCACAGTATATTACTGAAATATCGGAGCGGTGAGCTAGTAACCTAGCGCTTAAAGCGTTCGCTTGTCACGCCTAAGACTCGGGTTCAATTCTGCACATGGTTACAATTTGTGAAGCCCATTTCCGGTATCCCATGCAGTGATATTGCTGGACTATTGCTAAACACTGTGTAAAACCATACTCACTCAATTAAAATCTGTGGGAATGCCGCAGAGAAAGCGAATGACAATTGCACACGTGATAGCCCTTTAATTTCATTCATTCCTCATCAATTCAAAGACGTTCAGTTAAACAGGGTAAGGGATATATATGTATAGCTCAGCCAATGTTCGGAAGGATAGGCAGCTGTCCAGTGAAAGTGTAAACACTTTTTCTGGTAGAGGTGTGAATCGGTGCCATTGTTGACACAGGCAAATCAGACTTTGCGTGAACACCAGACGTAAACGTTTTGCCGCCAGGTGGAGCGGAAGATGACGCATGCCCAGACACAGCCGTTGACGTCTGGTTAGTTCCTGATCCAAGAACATCCGCGATCCAGTCGTTAATCATGATTTCCAACAGCGTCAGTGGTACAGCCCCGTCTCTCAAGACAACGTCGTGGAACTCCCGGATGTCGAACTTAGAACCTGAGAAGTGAAATAATCACAGTTTGTAATGTAAGACCTCGCGGTTACATTCATCACCCAGCGAAGACAGTGTTATTTATGTGCCATCCTCTTTCACTGCAGTCTTTCGGGAGATTAACTGACACTGTAGTGATCGTAAAAATAACAGCGCCCACATCCTTATCTATTGTACAATTCCAACTATATCATAAGCAAGTGTTTATATATACGAATAATGTATGATATAGAATGCATTACATGTTTAATTATTTACAGCACAGATGCAGATGCATCGTCTGTTAGGCGATGTTAGGCCACATTATGTAAATTAGTCGGTTATTGGGTCATACCTCACGTATTGGGTCGTGTGTCACTTATTAGACCATATGTCACGTATTGGGCCACATGCCATTTGTTGGGCTGTATGTCACTCATTGGGATATACGTCACTCGTTGGGTCATATGTCACATAGTAGGCCATATATTACTCGTTGGGTCATATGTCTCTCGTTGGGCCATATGTCACTCCTTGGGTCATATGTCACTCATTGGGCCATACATTCGTGGGGTCATATGTCTCTCGTTGGGCTATATGTCACTCCTTGGGCCATATGTCACTCATTGGGCTATATGTCACTCGTTTGGCCAAATGTCACTCGTCGGGTCATATGTCACTCATTGGGTCATATGTCTCTCGTTGGGCTATATGTCACTCCTTGGGCCATATGTCACTCATTGGGCTATATGTCACTCGTTGGGCCAAATGTCACTCGTTGGGACATATATCACCCGTTGGGCCAAATGTCACTCGTTGGGTCATATGTCAATGATAGGGCCAGATACATGTATTCAGTTTCCTTTCCCCAGAAGATAACAATATGCTGTTTCGCCTATGATTATTAGATACGTTATATCAACAGCAAATTGTATCAACTGCAAATGTTAACGTTTATTGCAAATAACATATCATACATACCTAGAGCAGACTCGGCTTTCTCTCTCAAAGCCCGAATCTTCAGCTCTCCTATTTTGTATGCGCAGGCCTGACCTGGCCACGTGATATAGCGGTCAATCTCGTTTTCCATATTCCCTCCACTCAGGGCGTTGTATTCCTGCATGAAGCTGAGAGCTCTCGAGCGTGACCATCTGTATTTCAACAAGAAGGTTAGATCGTTCAAATACTGAATGACCAGTGGTCAGGATCGCTGACCAGTGGTATTCTGTTCCGACTGTGTCGAACGACTCTCATTATTCTTGTAACTTATTTTGTTTTGGGTCCGTTTTGGACAGATATATGGCATGATATTACCGAGTGCCACGTGAAGCAGTCTCCACTTAGCCTAATATCACTTGCATCATGCTTATCTACAGGCAACAAACACAGTCCGGGTCTACATCCTGGCATCCGAGTTGATTACAGTAAACTACCCTTAAAAGGAACTGACGGATATAACGGACTGTGTCTTGGTCCCGGTCAATCGAAATGCTTATAACGAACTATGTTTATAACGAACTACGTTTATAACGAACTACGTTTATGACGAACTACAAATAAGGTCCCTTTGAGTTCGATCTATATATTTAACAGTACTTTACTACATATTCATTTAAAACGTATCATAAAATCATATATATACTATGGTATTTTCCTAGGTGGTAGGACAATAGGCCTATAAGGACATATAGCCCCCAGACAAAATTCTCAGGCTAAATGCCCCCATGAAAATAAAACCCCTCGATGGGTAGGAAAAAAGGTCTTCTGTGAAAAGATGTAATAGAATACCAACAAATCTTTTTGCAGCACATTAATTTATTCTCACATGAATATATTATTTAAAACATAATATAATATATGCTTTAACATTTAAAAGACCATCTTAATAAACACCATGCTCACTGACATGCCACAATGAGTGCCTGTCCAACAAAATCAAACGTAAGAGGAAGTGACCAATTAAGCCAGTTCTCTGAAACAACATTTAGCAGACTAAAAATAACATCTGGGTGCATATGGTTTTCACATATGCTACTTACCTGTAACAACTATCAGCGGTCGGAGGAATTGCGTAGAAAACATCATGTCAACACAAAATCAACTCAAGGGGTGTTTTATCCTATGGGTGGGATTTTGCAAGGGCTTTTTGTCATGGGGGCATTAAACCTAGGGGTTTTTTGTCCGAGGGATTTTTGTCTGCCCACCATTTTCCTAGTCATTGTTAGGAATGGTCACTCTAACAAACACTTGAGCGTCACACCAACAGATAAATTCATGACACCATGGGTCGTGGTATATCCACGTGCTACATGTTACTATTGTCACGTGATAGAAGTATATTCACCCCATGAAGTGGAGTCCGGTGTCCACAACTAGTCGGCAGGCTCTGAAGATTTCGTTACTGTACCGACCCATACTGAAACATACACACACAAAAACAATCCATAATATCATATATAGAAATCGAGAGAGCACAATTAGGTTACACTCTGTACTCAAGTACGGATCCGAACTGGGATCCTGGTCCTGAACTAACCAAATCCTTCCTCTTGGACGGAATATTCCATGAATTAAAAAAAAAGAAATAATTAAATTCAGTTATTTGTGCTGCTGTGTGCGCTCTGCAGACGTACAGATGTTTATATGAACAACTACATTATATGAACTCGTATTAAGTTACACGATGGTAGATTCTCACAGTTCGTAGTCGTCTTTATACAGTCCCAACTCTTCCCCCAGAGATTCGGCATAGAGGGCCCATCCCTTCATAAACGGAAACATATTAACATTAATTTAATCTTTTTTTTAAGATTTGAGATACCAAAATGCTTTTCATCGTGTTGGTCATTTAAGAAATGCAATGTAGACGATTATGTTTATTACCTTAAATGTTGTTGTTTACACAAAACAAATTAAGCCATTGATGAAAGTTCTTCTGTATTTATTTAAGTAAACCAGAGGACGTGACAAACAATAAGCTATTTAAGGTGGATACAGATGATCGTCACATGATGACACACAATAAGGTGGATACAGATGCTTGTCACATGATGACACAATAAGGTGGATACAGATGCTTCTCACGTGATGACGAAGAATAAGGTGGATACAGATGCTCGTCACATGATGACACACAATAAGGTGGATACAGATGCTTGTCACGTGATGACACACAATAAGGTGATACAGATGCTTGTTACATGATGACACACTAAGGTGAATACAGATGCTTTTCACATGATGACACAATAGGGTGGATACAGATGCTTCTCACGTGATGACACACAATAAGGTGAATACAGATGCTTGTCACATGACACACAATAAGGTGGATACATATGCTTGTCACATGATGACACACAATAAGGTGGATACAGATGCCTGTCACATGATGACACACAATAAGGTGGATACAGATGCCTGTCACATGATGACACACAATAAGGTGGATACAGATGCCTGTCACATGATGACACACAATAAGGTGGATACAGATGCCTGTCACATGATGACACACAATAAGGTGGATACAGATGCCTGTCACATGATGACACACAATAAGGTGGATACAGATGCTTGTCACATGATGACACACAATAAGGTGGATACAGATGCTTGTCACATGATGACCCACAATAAGGTGGATACAGATGCTTGTCACATGATGACACACAATAAGGTGGATACAGATGCTTGTCACGTGATGACACACAATAAGGTGGATACAGATGCTTGTCACATGATGACACACACAATAAGGTGGATACAGATGCTTGTCACATGATGACACACAATAAGGTGGATACAGATGCTTGTCACATGATGGACAGATGCCTGTCACGGATTAGATACTGATGACACACAAATGCTAAGGTGGATACAGATGCTTGTCACATGATAACCCACAATAAGGTGGATACAGATGCTTGTCACATGATGACACACAATAAGGTGGATACAGATGCTTGTCACATGATGACCCACAATAAGGGTGATACAGATGCTTGTCACATGATAACCCACAATAAGGTGGATACAGATGCTTCTCACGTGATGACACACAATGAGACAGAGGTGGATACAGATGCTTGTCACATGATGACACACAATGAGCATGTACAGTAAACTCCGGTTATACTAATTTGAGTACAATTCGACTAAAATAATCAAGTGATCGAGACCAAGATCGGTTCTATATGTCCTTCAGTTCGTTATAAGTGTGTTCGTTATAAACGTACTTTATGGTAAGCCGAAATGTTCACATAGCACCACAAAGTAGCAGATATGTGTATCCAGGCATACAGTCCAGTATTTTACCTCTACATACGATGAATACCCCGGGTAGGAGAAGGGTATGGAGTAGAAGGCGCCGGTCAAGTCCTCTTTCCGGAAGTGCGGAAGATTGGACGTCTGTTGGTATATGAACTGTACAGACAAAACAGAGAGTTTGGGCATTTTGAACATATTTACATATTTTGAAGCTAAACAACAAAACTGAATACTATATCAGCTTATAAGTACTTTGATATTTCACTAAGAAGCATGGTTGTCTATGACGAAATCGTAAGTCACTGTGTGTAGCTGCAATCCTAAACAGGACCAGGATCGACTATAATCATGTTTGCTATGTCTGTATGTAACCATGTTAAAGTGCTTAGCTATAGTGGCCGTGATAAGACAATTATCGCCTCCAATTACGGCCTGAAGAAAGTGATAAAGCGATTAGGAGACACGAGGAAGTGATACCACGACACGAGGAAGTGATACCACGACACGAGGAAGTAATACCACGACACGAGGAAGTAATACCACGACACGAGAAAGCGATACCACGACACGAGGAAGCGATACCACGACACGAGGAAGTAATACCACGACACGAGGAAGTGATACCACGACACGAGAAAGCGATACCACGACACGAGGAAGCGATACCACGACACGAGGAAGTGATACCACGACACGAGAAAGCGATACCACGACACGAGGAAGTGATACCACGACACGAGAAAGCGATACCACGACACGAGGAAGTGATACCACGACACGAGGAAGTGATACCACGACACGAGAAAGCGATACCACGACACGAGGTATCACGACACGAGGAAGTGATACCACGACACGAGGAAGCGATACCACGACCCGAGGAAGTGATACCACGACACGAGGAAGCGACACCACGACCCGAGGAAGTGATACCACGACACGAGGAAGCGATACCACGACCCGAGGAAGTGATACCACGAAACGAACAAACAATATACAAATATTGCTTCTGCTGTCGCTTGATCGTCTCATACTGTCGCTTTTCGATCTCGCGTTATCGGTTTATCACTATCTGGCCGCCGTAACTGATGCAGTGATGTCCCAGCACAGCTACCATACTGAACAGACCTGCAGGTGGTGTCCAGGGACCCCTTCGTGTAGAGCATCCCCCACCATGATGAAACTGTCCCTGATTGGAAGAGGAAATTGGGTACTTCAGGTGCTACACATCTGGACTTGTTTACACTGAGTATATTTCTAATATGAAAGGTCAAATATGAAAACTCTGTCTTGTGGGTATGTATAATTCATAGACAGGAATACAGAACCTGTAATAAAACACAGCAAAGTTTGACTTGCTGTTATGATGGTGTGATACTTTACATGGTTAAACCGTTTACATACATTTGTGTATTCCTACTGGATTAATACTGTACACAATACATATATTTTAGTGTCGTCACTTTTGGAATAGTTGCATCAAACGAAAAAATTACGAAACCTATTGAAGAGTAGAGATTTCATGTGACATCGGTCAATGTACTACATATTTGAAAAATAATGAAAAATCCTTTTTGGCTGCGGATCGAATGAAGACTTTTACGACAATAGTTTTTGAAAGATTTTTCTTTGACCCAGTACTATAATATCGTGCTCACGTTTCGTTGGGCCTGAAGAGATTGGCCTGGAACTCGGCCTGCCTGGACCCGTCAGAGGACCCGGGCATGTACTGGGCCGGCGCGCCGTCATTTCCCATCGCAGTTACTCTGATGTGGAAAACAAACCCAACATAAGTCACATATTGCCAGAGTAACACGTACTATGCAACATCTACAGGGACTGTTTGTACATGTCACGGTAGTTGTACTGACTTCTATAGGAGCCATTTTGATGTTATTTGTTCTAACCGTTACGCCATAAGTAAATGAATTGTCATGTTTGAAGTGGCATTGTGATCGCTCGTCACGCCGAAGAACCGGGTTCGATTCCCCACGTGGGTACAATGTGTGAAGCCCATTTCTGGTGTCCCCCGTCGTGATATTGCTGGAATATTGCTAAAAGCGGCGTAAAACCCAATTCACTCACTCACGCATCCAATCTGGGGTTCCCTTAAACTAATAGCCAATGAAGTCATCAAAAAGAATTAATTAAATGTATTCACTGCTATTCAGTTATTTTTGCGTTCTGCGTTCAAATATACACATAAATACATATATCATCGCATAGATACACACACGAACACTATTTCATGTACACCATCATAGCTACATAAACAATATCGCACACATGCACACATGAACACACATGAACACATACAATCACAAACATGCACACGTACATTCACACACACATCCACACATACAATCACACACATACAATCACACACATGAACAAATACACACATGATCACAAACACTCATACACATGAACACATACAATCACACACATGAACACATACACACATGAACACATACAATCACACAAATGAACACATACAATCACACACACATGCACACATACAATCACATGCACACACAGACAATCACACACATGAACACATACAATTACACACATGATCACATACACATGAACACATACAATCACATACACATGCACACATACAATCACACACATGCAGAAACACACACATGATCACAAACACTCACACAAATGAACACATACAATCACACACACATGCACACATACAATCACACACATGAACACATACACACATGATCACTAACACTCATACACATGCACACATACAATCACACACACATGAACACATTCAGTCACACACATACAATCACATTCACATATACACATCACACACATGCAATCATACACATACACACATACAATCACATCACACACATACACACACACATACACATCATCACACACACACATACACAAATACACATCACAAACATTCACACACATGAACGCATACAAGCACACACACATGAACACATACAATCACACACACATACAATCACACACATCACACATGACAAACATTCACATACATGAACGCATACAAGAACACACACATGCACACATAAAATTTCACACATGATCACATACACATGATCACACACACATGAACACATAAAATCTCTCACACATGCACACATACAATCACACACACATGATCACATACAATTACACACATGATCACATACACACATGATCACAACACTCACACACATGAACACATACAATCACACACACATGAACGCATACAATCACTACACAGACATAAAGTTGAAAGGTCCTCGCCGTAAAACGTCATATCATGCATGTTCAGCCATAATTCTTCAACTCCTTCCTTTTAACTTGACCCGTGAAGGTCAGGGTTAGAATGAACCTTCAGTAACCCATGCTAACCCGACTAACGGGATCGGGTAGTCAGGCTCGTTGGCTTGTTTAACACATGTCATCGGTTCCCAATTGTGCAGATCGATCACTAGGTTGTCTGGTCTAGACTCGATTATGAACAGACCGCCGCCATGTAGCTGGAATATTGCTGAGTGCGGCGTAAAGCTAAACTCACTCACTCACTCACTCCTTTATCTTGCTCTATACTTGAACATGTCAGCCACTGTAACAGAGCAATATGTCCTACTTGACTTTATACGGAGGAATGTTCTTGAAGACCTTGGGGAGAGCGGGGTACAGTCTGTTGTAGAGGATATCCTTGTACTTGGCAATGATCTCATCCTGAATAAGTGAATGAGGTGATGAGTTACGTATAGAGTGAATGAGTTCCTGTTTAGTCCATGGCATAGATTCCATTTACTGTCCAGGAGTAGACATTATTTCAATAACGCAGTCAGGTTATTTTACCGAGTATATACAGCAGACCATCAAAGTAGTATTTGTACTCTGTTTGGTGGAATGGCCAAGTTAGGCTGTTATCTGATGAGTACCGTTTGGGTTAAGCCCAGGAGCATCGATCTGCCCTGAAGGGACATTAACAGTCAGATGTTATTAGTATGAAGTGTTAACACTCTCGACGGGATTTACAGTGAAAATGTCCATTTAGTAGCCAAGTTTCTTAACCACTGCTCATGGTCTTTAAATAATGAATCTCAATTGACAACATGATACAGAGACGTACTAGGTGGATATTGGCTGTGGAATCGCGCTTTGAAACTTACTGCAGTTTTAAAGTGAAACCTCGGATCTTTCCTCAACATGGCGAAATATTCAGATATTGTTCCGTTGAAGTTCTGCTTCAGCATTATCTGAAGAACAACAAACAGAAATTTAAAATGATTATCTTTTGCGTGGTATACACAATCTTAATTATCATTCATCATCGATACATGCACTATATGTTGTATTTATATTGCAGTGTAATTTGCAAAATTCAGGAGATGAGAGAGTGAAATATTGGGGACATATTGTGTCGATCTGTACCTAATACTGCCCGTGTCAAGCAACAAGTGGTCGACAGCATGAGTAATAACCTTTGTGATTTAACCACGATGCCATGTAAAGAAAGCCGACACAAACTGAAACCACCAAATGATTAAGGCGAGAAATATGGAATATCCGCGGGAATCACCATTATATTGTTTGAAAAAAATCTTTCTCACGTCTTTCATTTTCTTACTAATCCTGGCGACTTCCGTTAAACCAAGTTGGTGCACTTGTCCTGGTGAAGTGTCAACTGTCAGATGCCATCTGAGACAGTTGGTGTAGTAGTTGCCTCCCTGGTTGAGTCCCCCCACACCAAAGGTTGGACGGGCGTGAGGGATGTACTCCTGCAACACAGAGCAGGCACACTTGTCCACATGTGTACATTGGATTACACTACACTACAGTACACCACACCACACCACACCACACAACACCACACCACACAACACCACACCACACCACACACACACACACCACTCCACCCACACGCACCACACCACCTCCACTCCTCCCACTCCACTCCACTCCACTCCACTCCACTCCACTCCACTCCACTCCGCTCCACTCCGCTCCGCTCCACTCCACTCCACCGCACCGCACCGCGCCTCTCGACACCGCACTGCCCCGCACCGCACCGCATCGCATCGCACCGCACCGCATCGCACCGCACCGCATCGCACCGCATCGCACCGCACCGCATCGCACCGCACCGCATCGCATCGCATCGCATCGCATCGCATCGCATCGCATCGCATCGCATCGCATCGCATCGCATCGCATCGCACGACACTGCACTTGCACTGCACTAAACGGACAATGGATTACACGACATGGCATCACATGGCACTACACTATACCTCACTGTAAAATACCGTACCAGACTACTATGAGAATACACTCCAGTACATTCAATACTGTACGAACACTACAAAAAAAAAAATATGTAGGTAAAGGACAAGGGTTTCCTTCTCATATTGATTACATGTAGAATATATTTATATTTACTTACATTGATTATAAATTGTTTTAGCGCTTTAAAGGCATCCATGATGTTTTGGGACGCATTCTTGGCTTTCTGTCGCATTTCCAACCTGAAACAGATTGCCACATACGGTTGCCTCATATTACAGCTATCGTCTCATACATGTGTCTGTGCAATGCCAGGAAAGTGGGGTAGCCTAATGGTTAAAGCACCGGCTCGTCCCGCTGACGACCCGGGTTCGAATCCCCACATGGGCACAATGTGTCAAGCCCATTTATGGTGTCTCCCGCCGTGATACTGCTCGAATATTGCTTAAAGCGGCGTAAAACCCAACTCACTCACTCACACTGTGCAATGCCAAACTATCTATACTGTAGAGAAAACCGTGCTTACCTTTCTGATTCAGGGATACTCAGGTTGTCCAGATCAGATAAGAAGGGTTTGTAGTAGACAAAGTCCGTAGGATCATCCTTGAGAAGGTCGTCGATCTGACCAGGAACCTTAGTCTTATTGGAAACAGAACAAAATATTATGTTGTCGTCATTCATGGTGGCATCTTTATTGTATATTATATTTTAAGTAGTTACAGTATGAAACAATTGAATAACGTGCTTTGTAAACATAGGAACGATTAACACGGGTTTAACATTGCTTTGACTAGATACACCAGGATGTGTCTGCTTAACGTGGGAGGAAAGCCCGAAGTAATGAAGGTCTTCGGGATCTACCACTTCGATATGGCACACTAAAGTTGGGTCTAGGACAAAAGCCACCCGGACAAAAACCACCCGGACAAATGCCACCCGGACAAAAGCCACCGGACAAAACCACCTAGGACAAATGCCACCCGGACAAAAGCCACTGGATAAATGTCACCTAGGACAAATGTCACCTAGGACAAAAGCCACCTGGTACAAATGTCACCTAGGACAAATGCCACCTAGGACAAATGCCACATGGTACAAATGTCACCTAGGACAAAAGCCACCAGGACAAATGCCACCTAGGACAAATGCCACCCAAAACAATATGTTTAAACCAAATTCAAGGTCAAACTATTTCTTAAATCCCCACCTTTTTTATGATTGTAGCAAGGTTACCCATATATGGCAGAAACTCCAAGATTGGCTAAATGATAAACTGGATTCAAATTTAAATTTCACTAGACAACAAATTCTTCTTGGATTCCGTCATAAACATAACGACCCACTTAATGTGATCCTCATCCTTTTCAAAAGTATTATTTTTAATCGTAAAACATCAGCAAATATGCCAACTTTTCAGTTTATGTTGAAAAGGCTTACTCAATATTACAATGTAACCAAATATGCAGCAATGTTATATGCCCCAGAATCGACGCTTTTTACAAATTCTGGTCGGCATGTCACAACCTGTTCAACGACTGATTTATGTTGTATTGCCATTGCTACATGCTCTGTATAATCTCTATACAGAGGTAGCCTTCTACCCTGCATGTTGGAGCCCATGTGCAACTGTAAAAGTGGTATGAACAAAATCTTAAATCAGCCATTTACGTCAACATGTTTATAAAGTCAACATTACTATGAAATCCAAATTTTACATCAAAATCAACATTGTTATCAAAGTTGTATCGTTTGTCCGGGTGGTTTTTGTCCTCAGAGAACTACGGTGCATTAGACGAGGTTGACACAAAAATTCATGATGATTTACCATAGAAAAGGCGTTGTTTGTTCTCCCAAGTCGTACAGATTCGGTCATCAAGGTAATCTTATCTCTCATCTAGAACAATGAAATAGAGAATAAATCCTATGACATGTAGCGTATAACCTTAACTGAGGATACAGGAATCGATTTATTATATTTGGACAACCCCCATGGCGACTCTTACATAGAATTTGCAGTAATGTATCTGTTCCTTAAAATGCAATTATGCAGATTGAATTCGGTGGTTTTGTATAGTACACGCCACCGATGTTGTTCATGATATAAGTCACTGGTTTGATTTATTAATTGCTGACTACAAATGGCTGGCATGGGTATTTCAGTTCAAAGTGACACGTCACTTACCTTTACTATGTTGATAAAATCCACAATGGTAGAGAAATAGCAAGAAACAAAGACTAATCTTGGATTCGAACCCTCAAATCGTGGGATCCTCTATCATTAAAGGAACGTAATTTTGCACTGCGAATAACTGATCCTTAGACCTCTGGGCCATCCGTGAACTGGTGATACGGCGATCACATTTTTATTTTTCAAGTTGATAGAGGCATTAAGTTATCGCCGGTTCTTGAGTGTTCGTGGTTACTATCGGCGTCCGATACATATATAATGTCCAGAACGTACCTGTCGCGGATAGAGTCTAATTCTGCTTATAAAGTTCAAAAAGTCCACTTTGGTCTCAAATCTTGTGATCTTCAGGAGAGATTCAGGATCTACTTGATCGCCCTCGAGAAAGTTGATGGGGTTAATCGCACCGTATCTGGTGAATACAGGCAATCACTTGTCAACGTTTCACGCCCTTAAACGCCGGTAATGTTGGAAGTCATAAGGGATAAAACAGTAAATAGGTTCATTTTAACACTGGTATAATTATTAGAATCAACAAAATATGTTTTCGTATTTTCCTGCAAAGGTTATTCCGGAAGAGACTATAATGTCTAAGGCTTTATGTGAAATAGGAAGACCTCTTTCGGCCGTTGTATGGATTAATGTGATGTTAATGCGTCTACGAGAATTGAATGTTTTGATTTCTTTGACCTGAGTATATGCTTTTAGTGAGTGAGAGAGTTTAGTTTTACGCAGCACTCAGCAATATTCCAGCTTTATGGCGGCGGTCTGTAAATAATCGAGTCTGGACCAGGAAAATCCAGTGATCAACAGCATGAGCATCGATCTACGCAATTGGGATACGATGACCAAGTCAGTGAGCCTGACCACGCAATCCCGTTAGTCGCCTCTTACGACAAGCACGGGTTGCAGAACATCAATATTCTAACCCGGATCTTTACAGGTAGCATATGCTTTGACAAGTAGACAGCTCACAGTCTCCACTGGTATCCCTGCGACACGGTGGTGAGTGTGTCGTTCAGGACGGCGTAGTTGTGCCGTTGTTGTCTGGGCAGAGAGTTGTAGTCGATCTTACTAAGACTCTTTAGAAACTCGTCAACCTTCGCCTACAGGAGTTGAAACAATATTTTCTGTCACCTAAATGACCACGAGGGTTATTACAATAGATCGCCATTAACCAAATCTCGGTCAGGTGACGCTGACATGGATCGGCTTGTCAGTCATAGTGACTTAGTTCCTGAACCCCATGGAAATATACATGCATTCAGATAGTCATTATGGCAAGTTGCAGTAGTGAACACGGTTAGACCTCGGGACAGATAATACTATCATATTTAGAAAATGGGTCAAGATTACATGATGATAACAGACAGTACTGAAGAAATACCAGACATTGTCAAAGTAAAGCTCGTTCAGAGGGAGCAAATACCGTAGGAAAGTTGGGGGTTATTTTTAAATCTCTCTCTCTCTCTCTCTCTCTCTCTCTCTCTCTCTCTCTCTCTCTCTCTCTCTCTCTCTCTCTCTCTCTCGCTCTCTCACTGTATATGTAGTCGTAGAACAACATTGCCATTGTCATACACTGTAATAACTGTTGGTGCTGATTCAGGAAGTTGCATACGTTGACTAGATTACATTTAAGGATCAGTTGTTTCGATGGAAACCTAATTAGTTCCCCAAAATATTGACAGAAGACATTTGATACAAAATCTGTTTGAAAGAAATGTGTAGATACAAACATAACCCGACAAGTATGTGTCATTGCAACAAGCAATAGATACCTTTGTGAAGTCGAACTCCGCGAGGCCAACACTGTCCGTTTTATCGTCGTAGTCGTGTACGTTGAGGTAGGTGGCCAACTCCGGGGAGTCCTTCAGTCGCCACTGGTAATATTGGTCAAACAGTGAGCTCAAGGTGCTGACCCCATCGCCTATATGAAGGTCAACGAAAAATGCATTAGTTCAAGTGTGTTTCTGTTTACCGATTGTGGTTTTTGGAGTTTCATTTTGTTTTGTTTGTTTGTTTCTATGGCAACCCTTTTCTTCGAACTTTTTATAATTCTTGGAAAACACTGATGAAGGTTCCAGGCACAAAGGGATAACATATTGTTTCATTCACTTAACTATGAATACATAGCATGTAAAAGTGCATGGCAAGTGCAAAAAGCACAACAAAAGAACCTTCATCTAATTACAGAATTTAGTTTTGAGAGATATTTCGCTGGCATTGGGTTGTACAGATTGTCTGTATCAAAACGGTATGAACGGCTGCTTTTTAACATATACTCAACAAGTTTAAAAACTGGTTCCAACGTTATTGCTAATAATTATGATGGTGGGGCTGGGGGCGGCAATTCTTTTTAGTTTCTTCAATGTCAAGAAGGTTGTTTGAACATGGCCTCATCGACCGACTTAAAAAATTGGTAAGTGTGTAAACAGCGTGAGACGCTGCGAGTCACGTGGCCACACCATCGCCTGATTGTCACCGTTGCATCAGTTGTACGTGTTTAAGGCAATGTCGTCAGGCAATACACAGTCTGGGGACCCATGTGCAACTGATTGGCACCGTTGTAGATCGCTCAAGGCCTTGGTCACCGCGTGTGCGTCACAGATGTTCATCAGGAATCGACTGACTGAGGCAGACGACCATACACAGGTCCGCAGACATGCCAGATTCAACTGGAAGCATTGGAACAGGTTTGTCTCCATTGACGCGTACGCTTTGTCAATGGCAGCGTCCGAGAATGGCGCAGGAGTAGGGAGCCTGGGCTACCCCAGTCCTTTTGCCAATTGTGCAGCTACATGGTGCTCTGGGCCCCATTTCACAAAGCTCTCGTACGCCTAAGATCTCGTAACGTTTCTCGTAGCATTCGTACTTCCTATACTGTAACATAGGGAGTACGAATGCTACGAGAAACGTTACGAGATCTTAAGCTTACGAGAGCTTTGTGAAACGGCCTCTTGACTGACATTTCAAGATGACTACATGTCATACTAAAGTTCTAGCACGCAACTTCTGATGGACTGGCCTTCCCCTTCCCCAGAGTTGAACATTATCCAACACATTTGGGATGAGCTGGTAAGACGAGTGTCATGGCAGATGAATCAACCCCAGACCTTGCAAGAACTTGACCAGTAACGACTACTTCCGATTAAAGTGTTCCGACAGATTCTCCTACCCATGGGGAGACACTGTGCTGCAGTCACGGCCGACCTAGGAGGTCTCACTCGTTATTGATTTCGTCTGTTTCAACAGTTTCATTATGAAGTTGACGCCGTGGGGTTATGAAACCTCATGTATTATTAATAAAACCAGCATTAATACCTGGATGGTGGCAGTATGATACACATTTGTTTTCATTAAAAATGTATACGCTACTTTCATGGCGGGATTCAATTAGACAAGTGTCAAGTTTCTAATTTGGTTGAGTATATGTTCTCTTTTTTACGGCCCTCTGCTAAAGCTGTCGCAGTTTGTTTGTGACACGCTTGTTATTGAGTTCTTAGTACGATCACCTAACTTACCTGCAGTTTGACTGATGAGCATGAAGCTAGCGAGAACACATACACCAAACATGTTCAATATATCCTCGTTGTTCGGGTCTGAGGGAAAACTCTAACTTAAAGACGAAGACACCTGTAAGAACACACATCACAACCAATCAATACAAAAATAATCAATACAATCATCTCCCTGCGTGATACATTATTCCAAGGAATATAACAGTGTTTCAAAATTCTCTATAAATTTCCTAACAGACGTCAGTGTTAACTTCAGATCTGTTACAGATAAGGTACCACGAGTATAAGAGGTGTTAGTCATGTTGACATCTAATACTGGAGATAACGAACTAACTTGAATTCGTGATAGTAGTAAGTGAATTTGGCAAAGACATTGACAATCAATATACCTGTGGTACTGTAGGTTCGCCAGGGTTCTGTTTTCGACCACTCTCACTTCCTGTTGATAAGCCACACAGCACGTGTACATTTTCTCACAACAGCAGGTGTGACAAGTTGGAGACCAAATTCGTCATGTCTTATCTCGCTGTGTCCATACGTGCAGATTGTGTACACTGTGTGTCAACATGACACCCCACTTTAGGTACAATAAGTTTCGTTTTGAGGAAAAACTATTATAATCCCTTATATTCTGTAGCTCTGTTGTTTATTGCGAATTACTCAGAAAGGTCTGCACCTGAACAAGACTTAGCTTGGATCTCCTTACACTACGCATGACTTGTTGCGTCAGTTACGTTTTAGCTGATGCGTTACCACAGTAATCTATGACGCTGCAGCTTGCTGGGCATCTGATGCTCGTGGGATCGATTCTCAAATTCGATCCGATGAGGGTTTTTGCACCATTTAAGTGCAATGAATGTCTCAGACCTTCGTCACCACAGGTTCTCCATATATAAGAAGCTGATACGCGATAAAATTGTACTGTTGTTCACTGTCAGGTTAAATCCAACTCACTACTTCATTATTTTGGTTGGTTTTATTGGTTTGTTTGTTTGTTTTTTGTTTTGTATTTTATTTTATTCTTTTTTTGTTTTTGTTGTTGCTGTTGTTGTTGTTTTTTCGGAGGGGTGATATTTACAGGCCCAGGTGAATCAGTTTCGTCTGACAATCGAGACTGGTTATTCTCTGACATTTCAGATTTACTCTCACTCTGTAACTTTCTAATTAACAAGGGAGCAGTTTACCTGCGGTTTCTCAACGGTTTCCGTGCGACGTCATGACCGCAAGTATTCTCTGGTTGGTGATACCGTCAACGTTATACCGTCTGCTTCCGGTCATAGTAGACTGGACACCCACCGTATATATATATATATATACCAGAAAACCCGAGAATATTCCGTTTGTTGCACCTTCCGTAGTGAACAACCGAGAACAACAAAACAACATACCACGGTTACATGTACACTCATGTTGTAAGATACACAACCGTTTATGGTCATGTTGAAAATCTGTGTCCAAGAGGGAACAAAAGACTTTGCAGTGTTGACTAATATTTGTGTTTAACAAAGTTCCTTTCTCAAATTTCCATATTATTTCGTTGCGCGTTCAGTGCAGATTAGGCCTCAATAAGTAATCCTTGTGGGAATGATGGATCTGAATAAATCTCCACTCTGGTCGACAACATTAGGGTTCCGGTGGTCAGGATCGTTTGCCTAATAAACTGTCTGTTGTTATTATGTGGTTTTACTGACCCGTGAAGATCCGGGATAGAATAGGTCTTAAGCAACCCATGCTTGCCACACAAGGCAACTATGCTTGTCGTAAGAGGCGACTAACGGGATCGGGTGGTCAGGCTCGCTGACTTGGTTGACACATGTCATCGGTTCCCAATTGCGCAGATCGATGCTCATGATGTTGATCACTGGATTGTCTGGTCCAGACTCGATTATTTACAGACCGCCGCCATATAGCTGGAATATTGCTGAGTGCGGCGTAAAACTAAACTCACTCACTCACTACATTTACAACACTCTATAAAACTGGAACATTCGCAGGCTAAGTCAAGCCATGTATACCTGAATGTAAACAGTTCACACTAGTCCGCCATCAAACGTGTATTGTCTGCAAACATTGGATTTATATCTGTTTTGTTATCTGAACAATATGTTACATGAGTGAGAGGTGACATGGGGTTTAGCGTCGCACTTACTAAAAAAGAATATTTCGCTCATATGACGACGTGCATGCGTGTGTATTTGTGGTTGCTTGTACAAGCCCAGACTTAAGCTGGTTCTATAGAGCTAGCTCACTGAGATACCATGCCGCAGTTTAGCATGAATACCCCACTCAGACACATTATACTGGCCCCGAGCCGACCAGTCCTTGTTGTACCCATTAAGGCCGAGCGCCAGGCAGGGACCATCAAGTGCCATATTTCAAAGTCATTTGGAATAACACAGCCGGATATCGAACCCGCGATCTTCCGCTCTCCGGGCGGACGCTATGACCACTACACCACGGAGGCGGCGTAATATTACTAACAAGTTTGAAACAAATGAAAGAAAACACAGATGTTTAAAGCATGTTTTGCACCCGACTTGAAAACCCTGTGGGGAAAGGGGGGTCCTGAGCACTGTAGAATATTCGGTAGCGTTTAAGTAGAAGGGTGACCATCCTCGCAAGGCGCGTGAGACTTTCCAGAGTTATCCCCACCTGAATCACGGGCAAGTCACTCAGTAACAAGTGAACTGTCCAATCAGCACCTACTGGGTAACCAGCTGGATTAGAAGACACAACCTTTTGTCACATCAAGGGCAGTTTCGGTTGAATAACCCGTGAAGATCCAGGCTAGAATTGGTCTTCAGTATCCCTCGCAAAAGTCGACTAACGGGATTAGGTGCTCAGGCTCTTGGTTGACACATTTCATCGTATCCCAATTGCGTAGTTTGATGCTCATGCTGTTGATCACTGGATTGTCTGATCTAGACTCGATTATGAACAGACGTCGCCATATAGCTGGAATATTGCTGAGTGCGGCGTAAAACTAAACTCACTCACTTGGGTTGAATACTCCCAGGGAGCTGAGCAAGTATTTGTGTGTATTCTGCTCCACCGACAGGATAATGGGCATGTCTGAGGTAACTGAATGTATCAATCTATTAATTCTATTTGCATTTATTAAAACTAGAGTTTCCCGAGTGTTTACAATAAACATACTTACACTTGGTGTCAATTCTGTTTGGTGAGGTGAGGTGAGGTGAAATTGGGTTTAACGTATTGCTTGAGAATATTTCGCTCATATGACGACGTGCATGCGTGTGTATGTGTATGTGCGGCTGCTTGTACTAGCCCAGACTTAAGCTGGTTTTATAGTGCTAGCCCACTGAGATACCATGCCGCAGTGAAGCATGAATACCCCACTCAGACACATTATACTGACTCCGAGCTGACCAGTCCTTGTTGTACCCATTAATGCCGAGCGCCAGGCAGGGACCAACAAGTACCCTATTTTAACGTCTTTTGGTAGGACGCAGTCGGGGATCGAACCCGCGACCTTCCGCTCTCCGGGTGGACGCTCTAACCACTACACCACGGAGGCGGTCAATTCTGTTTGGTAGTGATACAGACCACATGTATGTGTTGTAGTCGTAATTGTAATGAGCTGCCTTTAGTAGAGATTTCGTATGAATACTTTTATGGTTTTTGTCGTTTTTATACACCTACCAGTTCCCGAATAGTTGTAGTATGGTGGCCTTATCATAGGTACAGCCCTTGTGGTGTAACATTACATTGTTTTGGCTTTCCATATAATATTTATTTATGTTTATGAAACTTCGGAGCTGTGTGGCCTTTATTTCCATATATTATGCCCGAGATGAAGATGCTGCATCAGCTGGTGATATACGAACAGTCATGCTGATCTGATATATCTATGAGGATGAATACTTGACGAATATCACTTCATCAGTGTCTGAAGGATGTCAGATTCTATGCAAATTTAGCCGTTGTTGTCATCCTCATTCAGTATGCATGGTCTGTTTTGATTCTTAGTCTCGACCCCGCGCCGCTAATCTGGAATATTCACCACCGGGCGATGTCTGAACGCTTAAATGTATACAAAAAGTACAGCACTCTGCAAGAGTGATTAGACAGGACCCCGTGAATCTGAAACCTCTCTTACGTGACACTGCCTGATGTTACAGGTTAACCGTATTCACCAATACTGTTTTGTTCAATAGTGAGTAGGCAGGACGCCCTGAATCTGGAAACCTCTCGTGAAACTGCCCTATGTTAACGCCTACAAATATACAAAGACACAGTATTCTGCAATGGGTATTCGGCTATTGCTAAAACGGGCGACTTTTGTGGGAATGCAACCGCCCGTGATAAAGGGGTTTCGCTGTACTCGGCTATCATATATAAACGGTCTGAACTGTGCATGTGTAAACGGTCTGAACTGTGCATGTGTATGAACTGAAGGCCAAGGAAAGTATACTGAATTTGCTATTTATGTAACTAAAAAAATAAAAGAACTTGTTAAATTTGATTGTGTCTATTTATCTGTCACTCATTCCTACAACAGTTTGAAAATTGTATTCTAGATCTTTGGCTGGGTAATGCTGTGTTATTGTACAATGATGACCGCGGTAGGCAATGGATTTGCAATCACATGGCCCTTACACATTTGGAAATTGGACATTTGTGCTGAAAAAAGGACAAATTAATTAATTTTTTAAACTAAGATGACGAAGACACCCATCCGAAGTGTGTAATCTGCTTTTCACTTTTCAAGTTTACTCAAACTCTATATTTGGAAATTAAACACTGTACTAGTATATAGTGAGTGTTGACTAAACGCCAAGCGTGAGTACAATTCATATTTTGGATATAATATTGTTAAACTTGAGATATTTTGGACTGAAAATCAAATATAATTATGATAAAATCAGCTGAGAGCTGAGATGTATGTTTTTCTTGACCCTTAGGGACCGTTCCTAATTTATGGCTAGGGGGGTGATGATGATTGGAAGGGGGGTCACCGGCATCAATTTTGTACACACGTACCAGGGGTGGTCAGCAATTGTGTACATAAAAATATGTTTAAAATTATGCTTAGAAATTATGGGAAGGGGAGGGGGGTTATTGATTTTGTACATGACATGCAGGGGTCACTTATTTTGTACATAAATTTAGAGGGGGTCATTCATTGCACATGCTTCTCCATAAAATCATCATCCCCACCACCCCACCACCCCACCACCTCACCACCTCACCACCACCCCTAGCCATAAATTATGAACGGTCCCTTAATTCACATAGGCCCGGAATGAACAAAAGAACATGATAATAAAACTTAATCGAGTTCCATTGCCACAGTTTTATTCCAAACCCGTCCAGCTGTAAATTCCGATGAATGTTTTGGTACATCAGTTTGTGTTCATCCAATATTAGGCAGAATAGGCAACTGTCCAGTGAATGTGTAGACAGGGCCGTTTGAAACATGTCGCCATGTTGTTTCTGGTACGCTCCTGGTCGTCTGCTGTTGACCGGAAGTAGTAGCAGGCAGGTACCCGGATGTTGACATTTGACTTGGTTTAAGAACGTCTGAGATCCAGTCGATGACAATAGTTTCCAGCAGTGACAGAGGAACCGGTCCAGCTGACAGAATAACCTCGTGGAAGTCCCGGATGTCAAACTTGGATCCTGGACAGGTGAGAGGTCAAGTTAAGTATAATGAGTAAGTGAGTGAATGTTGTTTTAAGCCGCACCAGCAGTTTTGCAGCTATTCGCGGTTTTCAAGAATGGTTCCGAGCAGCAGTCAGAAAGCCTTCTGTTTCACCGAGTCTGTGCCATTTAACATGATTCCTTAAATTATCAGTACTTTCACAGCAGAAAACGAAAAAGGTCATTGATCAAACGCACGCATTGAAAAGAATGCTATGAAAATAGTTGCAGTTTTTAACCGGTTTCAAGTGATAGAGGTATTATACAAATGCCCGCGGCATGGGAGATATATTTACGTCGCAAATACTATTACTAAAACCAAGGTACAATGACAAAATTGCATTGTTCTTTGAAAACGAATTACTCGTACATTTTTTAGTTGAAAGGAAATGTGGAATGTCTTAAAACACCTTGAATATAATTCAGTTCAAAATTAAAATGAATCCGGCCAAGTAGACCGTACTCCTCTTTTTCGTAAATCGATCGCACCAGATTGGTTGATAACTTAGCTTTCTCTAAAATGATTTTTTTCTTCAAGCTGACTAATCAAAGAGAAAAGTGGGATAAGTCGTCGTATAAATGAAGGATATGGGAGCGTGGGTAATCACGAGAAATGTCAATATTAAGTTTCGTTCATACTTATAAATAGCTCTAAAAAAGAATGTTTTAAAAATGAAACACATTACGTTATCACATTGCTCACCTAAGGCATTCTTGGCTGCTTCTCTCAGAGAACGGATCTTCAGTTCTCCTATCTTGTATGCGCATGCCTGGCCTGGCCACGTGATGTAGCGGTCGATCTCGTTCGCGAGATTTCCTCCACTTAGCGCCGAGTACTGTTTGAAGAAGTTAACAGCACGATCCCTGCTCCACCTGGAACCGACCAAATACAGTGTCACCCTTCAGGAAACTCAGAGATGGGCATTTCTTGTCCATTTTTGACGCACGAAATGCATATGGATGTATTGGGATATTAAAACGTTTCAATTTCCAGTTATATATATTATGTTATATTGTATATTAGTCATACTACAGATTTGTTTCAAATAGGCACAGATTAGATATCTTATCATTCTTTCTAGCTTTTCTTATTATGTGATTCAGAAGTATAACGTTTGGCAATGTCCTACCCCATAAAATGTATTCCTGTATCAACCACCAGTCTGCAAGCCCGGAACATTTCGTTAACATATCGACCCATTCTGAAATAAGAGAATTACCATCATCATCATCATCATCATCATCATCATCATCATCATCATCATTATCATCATAGTCGTCGTCTAAGTCATCTCATCGTCATCATCATTATGATCATCGTCGTCGTCATCGTCGTCGTCATCGTCGTCGTCGTCATCATCATCTCATCATCATTATCGTCGCCATCGTCTCAGTCGTCACCATCATCGCATCGTCGTCGTCATCATCATCATCATCATCACCGTCGTTGTCGTCATCATCTCATCGTCATCATCATTATCATCATCGTCGTTATCACCATCATCGTCGTTGTCTCCATGGTATCAATTTAATTCAGCAGACACAAACTACTACTTTTATTCATTTTATATCTGCTCCAAAACCGCCAGTAACTCATTCCGTATCTCATAACATAGATAATGAGCTGTATGATTTTATCACATTTATATCCACATAATACCCACAGTTCATAATCGTCGACATATAGACCAAGCTCCTCTCCAAGTGATTCGGCATATAACGCCCAACCCTGGAATATTCAAATAAATCATTTAAAATTTAAAATAATGGTCAGTTTACATGTATGAGTATTGAAAGATGTGAGTATATGATTTAACAGACACGTGTTTTGTTTCAACATTTCAAACAGTAAAGTGTAATACCTCGATATAAGCCGTGTACGAGGAGAAGGAGAAAGGCGCGCTATATCTGGAACCACCGGTATCTTCCTTCCTGAAGTCGGGCAAGTCTGAGGTCTGTTGCCTGGTGATCTGTAAGTGTAATGTACGCAATAGTGACATTATGAAGACATTGTGAAGGCGATTAAAACCCACCTGTCACGGTTGTCCATATATGCCCGACACTGGGGAATCCGGATTACCGGAACCGTGTGTACCTGTCGCACAGATGGAGTCGGCAGGCTCGGTGACTGGGTGGCTCATAACACCTCCCCCTGCTTTTTACATATAAATATATAAATAAATGAATAAATAAATAAATAAAGCAATGAAGGAAGTGACAGACAGACAGACAGACGAATTATATAATTAATAAATGAAAGAAATAATTCCATAAATAATAATTAAATATATTTCCACGCACAATGAATGGTGAGACAGTACCTGAAGATGGTGGCCTGGTACCGCTTCATGAAGGGCGTATCCCACCATTGTGTAACTGTCGCTGAAACATTATCTTCAGTATAAATGACATATTTATCCCCCGAAGAACCTCTCTATGAAACTATGGTCATCCTTCATTTCCATGATAACGACGGTTGCATGGCTTTAGTTCCTGACATTGGTGCTTGCATTTTCATTTCTATCTGTTTTCCTTTCAGATTGTGGCAGCTACATACAGTTTTTATAATTCCCCCAAATGTTCGACATGCCACCAGCTTATGCCGTTGCGCTATACTATACCTGTGCTGTGTGTACTATTATTTAATGGTCATTGTTTGAAGAATCCTTACAAAGACACGAGCATGTGGACTCGTGCAATGGTCCACAAATATTCTCGGAATACTCACGTTTCGTTGGGCCTGAAGACGTTGGCCTGGAACTCGGCCTGTCTGGACCCATCAGAGGACCCGGGCATGTACTGGGCTGGCGGACCGTCTGTAGCCATCTTGGTAACTCTGGGACATCACGTGTTGCACATCATGATACAGACGTGATGTCCTACTTTAGTTTAATTACGGGAAAGATTTGGAAAAGAATAACGTTTTTTCTAATAGTATTAAGATTCCCTTTAAGATCGTGTGGTCAAGCTTTGTTATTTCGATTGAATACCGATCTGGCCGTTGATCGTTGATTACACTTTTAGTCCCGGTACGCCTGGTAATAAATTATTCACAAGCGGTAGCTAGCATACAACATTCACACTTTAAACTGCTCAGCGACGCTATATGTTGAACTGATTTACAAGGAGCTGTATTCCACTTTCAGAACAATTTATTACGTACTTGACTTTCTGAGTTGGTATGTTCTTGAACATCTTGGGTAAAGCTGGGTAGAATCTGTTATAGATTAAATCCTGGTATCTTGCAATGATCTCGTCCTGTAAAGGACATACGATTAAGTCGGGCATAATGAGGTTAAAGCTGCACAGTCAGAAACATAGATGCAGTTTGTACTGGAATCTAATTGTGATAGGGATTTTGTTGTCGAAGCTAGTGGCAACAGGACATAGAAATCAGCGGGCGAATTGTGGGCGTTAGACCGTCTTCTGTAGGACAGTGATCGATAGTGTGAGCGTGACTTGGGAAGCTCAGTGGTAAAACCAGTGTTAGCTAGCTTTTAGCATCCGAAGGTGTGAGGCACAACCCATAGAGTAGGACGTCACCCAACACAGCGACCTCTGTCTGTTGCATTCTATCATTCCGTTATTGATATGTACTTCGTTTTGGGAACCTCCCAATTATCATCACTTGTCGACCCGTGAAGGTCCGGGTTAGAATATTGGCCTTCAGTAACCCATGCTTGTCGTAAGAGGCGACTAACCGGATCGGGTGGTCAGGCTCGCTGACTTGGTTGACACATGTCATCGGTTCCCAATTGCGTAGACTCGATTATTTACAGATATAGCTGGAATATTGCTGGAATATTCCTGAGTGAGGCGTATAACTCAACTCACTCACTCACTTATCACTTGCCCGGCCCGTCATTAGAGCTCTTAGACACAGCAACCTAAGCAGTGGTGATGATCGTGAAACAATATCACATGCGGAGGATAGGGATATCGCAAGTGGTTGTGGTATACGTACAGCTGTTTTGAAATGGAATCTCGGCTCTTTACTCAGCATGGTGAAATATTCTTCGATGGTACCACTAAAGTTCTGCCTCTGCATTATCTGGAAAACAGTAAAAACGGATTAAAATGTATCGTGTTAGATTTACATGTCGCAGTATTTGAGGGGGAATGTAAGGATGAATAGACAAGTGTGTCAAACGCCCTCGTGAACAGTAGTTCAGTTGCAGCAAGACGTGTAGTCATCTCACAGATAACACCCTTACCATGTCAACTTGCATGGTTCGAGGGGCGGTGGGGTAGCCCAGGGGTTAAAGCGTCCGCTCGTAACGCCGAAGATTCGGGTTCGATTCCCCACATGTGTACAATGTGCGAAGCCCATTTCTGGTGTCCCGTGCCGTGATATTGCTGGAACATTGCTAAAAGCGGCGTAATGGTTCGGCGCATGGTTCGAATCCCATGACACGTAAGTCACAATCAAAACACTTTTCAAAATACTTACATTGGTTTTTTTAATTATTAGTTGTTGTTTTTTATTGTTGTTGTTGTTGTTTTTTGTTTTGTTTTTGTTTTTCGAAATTCGCGCCAATGATGACTGATGACATACCTGTGTCATCGTCTTGCTGATCCGTGCAACTTCATCTAAGCCTATCTGATGGACCCGCCCAGGAGGGGTGTCAACTGTGATGTGCCACTTCAACACCTGAGTATAATAGTTTCCCCCTTGGTTGAGTCCACCAACACCGTATGAACCTCTAGCATGGGGGATGTACTCCTGCAAGAGATCGTCCATCCTTGTTTACAGAATATTGAACGCTATCAATGGTACTACATAACAATAATTTATGCTTTTGTCTGCGAACACTGGACAAGGCCGTTAGGGAAGGTTATGGCACAAGGTAAATCAAGCGGTAATTAAAAGACGCATGACTACAATCTGATACCCTTTGTGTTTGATCTACAGCCTTTTCTGTCACAAGAACCTGTGCTGGTCGTATACGACGGTTAAGTGAACTGGTTGGTCAGGTTTGGTAGATTTATTGATTTCATGTCACCTTATCCTAATTATATAGATGGCTGCTCGGTATGACTATTACTGGACTGTCTGGTGTAGAATCGACTATTACAAACTGTCTTTATATATACTGAGGGGCAAACGAAAATACATAACTGAAAATATACCTGATTTTATTAGAAATGTCAAGGCGTTACTAAACTGAAAATACTCACCGAAACACTGCAAACCCAACAACCAAAACAACTACGATAGCCTCGTCAAATACATCACTATCAAGATATCATTTCTTCTTGTTTTCTTTTAACCACCATCAAATTTAAACATTGGCGTATACTTTCTTTTACTGACAAGCTTTTAGTTTAGCTGTTTTATTGCTATTTGTTTCGTTAAACATCAAACAAAAATTGCCCGCACAGACCGACTCGTGAGTATAAAATATATGACATTACATGTTCCAACTATTAATGCAACTCACCTTCAGAATGAAATCCTTCAGCTGCCTCAGTGCCCGGATGTATTGGTCTGATGCATTCAAAGCCCGGGCTCTCAAATCTGTCCTAGAAGCGAGAAATGTCAGTAAATGCGTTTTCGGTTCAGTCGGAAACATGAAACATTAAATACGTCTACACGCTGACAACATCGTGTTCATTTAGTTGATGATGTACCTACTTGACAATGCCAGTAAGGTTCAGTTTGTTGATATCGGCTTTAAATGGTCTGTAGAAGATAAACTGGCTAGGGTCGTCCTTGATCATGTCATCTATTTCACCAGGAATCCGGTCCTGAAACAAGAAGTACAACAAAAGGTAGATGAAAGTTGGTTCAGTCGATTCAGAAATGATGGCAGAGTTTCGGGTTTTTCGACGGAGAGGCGAGCGACTGCGTTCAAGAAGTTCATCCTTCCGATAGAGAGACGTCATTTAAGGCGTCATTTGTGGCCGAAGAACAACAAGACTGGTTATCACCCGAGGAAATATGAATACCCAGCGATACAGGGATGTGTTGTAACCTTTTGTAGTGCCAAGAGGAGTCATTTTGCAGCACGACAGTGCAAGGCCTCACACCGCCGGAATTGTTCGAGGATACCTGCACAACGTAACGTCAACGTATTGCCTTGGTCAGCGCGTTCTCCAGGCATGAACCCCGCTGAACATCTCTGGGATCATCTTGATTGTCAGCTGAAAAAGCGTATACCACCTCCATGGAACCAAAAGGAAATTGAACAGACTCTCTTGGACTTATGGAACAGGATTCCTGCTGACGTCATCCGCCGACTGACGACGTCAATGAGGAGACGTGTGTTGGCGTGTATGGATGCCCCGGGTGATCACACTCGCTATTGTTGACGTGTTCCCTGACACTGGTCTCAATATGTGACTCTTTAAGCACTTGTTTAAAATTGTATTAACTTTGATTTGTGTAATTATTAATTTTGACCCCTTGACGCTTTCTTAATGAATTGCGGCAAATGCAAGACCAGTATTACAATGAATTTTCAGTCAAAATATTGGGAAATGATTTGTTTGTAAAATAACTATCATAAATCTCACATAAGTCTTTGTTTCTATTTTTTGATCAAGTGAAGTCGGTGACAACTTTCTTTTGCCCGGTAGTTTATATGAACCTACCATGGACACTGCGTTGCTGGTTCTCCCCAATCGTATAGCCTCCCTCATCAGACTGATTTTGTCCGACACCTTGAAACAAGTATAACAGAATGAGCTTCAACATGTAACAGACATTTATGTAGACATTTAGTCGACCAAACAGTTAGAATATAACACTAAGTGGTGAGTTGGTTTAACGCCCCAACATGCGAATAGATCAGTTGTATGTGAGGAGTGAGTAAGTGACCATGGTTTTAAGCCGCTTTTAGCAATGTCCCAGCAATATTATGGCGGGAGACACCAGAAATATGCTTTACATATTGATGTGGGGAATCAAACCCGGATCTTCGATGTGATGAGCGAACGCTTTAACCAACAGGCTACCCCACCGCCCCTGTATGCGAGGAAAGCTATGAGTAGCACTGGTTCAGAGGTTTCCCAGTCTAGTGAAATTCAAAAGCAAAGAAACACCAAGGATCATCAGTGCAAATCTGGGATTCGAACCAATAATAATCGGATCCTGGCTAAGATATGCAACTCAGCAACGAATTGTAAGCCACCTGTTATTTCGGGTTATCTATGAACATGAAACGGAACAAGATATTTGTCGAATCGAATTTACTGCCTGGGAAATCATTATGTTCAATCATCACCAACAGGGGCGGTGGGGTAGCCTTGTGGTTAAAGCGTTCGCTTGCCGAAGACCCACGTTCGATTCCCAACATGGGTACAATGTGTGAAGCCCATTTCTGGTGTTCCCCGCCGTAACATTGCTAGAATATTGCTAAAAGCGGCGTAAAACTAAACTCACTCATATTCACTCATCACCAACATACTCACATATGCAATATCAGAGAGACATTTGTAAAGTGTGTAACTACCTGTTGGGGTTCAGCTGCAAGTCGGGAGATGAAATTCTCGTAGTCCTTCTGTGTGGAGAAGGGTGTGATCTGGAGAATGAAGCCGGGGTCGACCTGGTTACCTTGCAGGAAGTTGATTGGGGTCAGAGCGCCATACCTGACAACAGTTTATCGTTGTGGTGTCAACAAAATCATTACTATATAAGTCAACAGTTTGTCGTTGGGGTGTCGACAAAACATTACTATATATGACAACAGTTTATCGTTCGGATGTCTACAATACCATTACCATACCTGACAACAGTTTATCGCTGGGGTGTCAACAACGCATTACCATATATGACAACAGTTTATCGTTCGGATGTCTTGCCGTATATGACAACAGTTTATCGTACAACGCATTACCATACCTGGGGTGTCGACAAAACATTACCATATATGACAACAGTTTATCGTTTGGGTGTCTACAAAACATTACCATATATGACAACAGTTTATCGTTGGGTGTCAACAACGCATTACCATATATGACAACAGTTTATCGCTGGGGTGTCAACAACGCATTACCATATATGACATCAGTTTATCGTTGGGGTGTCAACAACGCATTAACATAACCGGGATGCCAGAGTATGCATCTGTCAGACATTAACCATTTTTGTGAAACCACGCTGACAAATCCAGAAAGATAGTCTGTCCGAATCAGGGATTCGAACCTCCCGTCATCAATTTCTTGCACGTCTGTTAACAATAGCGCCTTACACGACCATGATCACCGGATCTTCTGCCCTTAACGCATTTTGATTAAAGCTTTCGTTAACTATGCTATTGCCATTTCAGAGACTCGAATAATCTAATCCAGTCTAGAGCATGTTCTCTAACTGCTCTTCCTCGATAATATATTTAATTTTCAGTCTGTTCAAAAGTAAAGAGCACTACACCCTGTACTGCTATACCTCTGTGAACAGGTGCCAGTGCATTGACCGTCATACCTAATCAAATTACAGCACAGCACAGCACAGCACAGCACAGCACAGCACAGCACAGCACAGCACAACAGCACAGCACAGCACAACCCACCACGCCGTTTTCAGACTGACGACCCAGCTCACAAAACAATCAAGACCGTGAAGTAGACACATATCTCGACCAACCATTCCAGGACAAATCATCGTGATTTACTTCTGTTGGCGCGACTCTGCCGGGAATATACCGACCTCAGAAATGTGTGATTACAGTGGGTTCACTCAACATGCATATTTCATGTGGCTGGAGAGACATTATCGGTAGGGTGTAACTTAACTTCTAGTCTGCGCCTTGTCCCAAGACGGACGCACTCTACGACGAGTAGTCTGGATGCAGCATGGGAAATTTACTGTATATTGTCACGTTTTAGAATTGTTCCACCAAGCGCTTGAAGTGAAGAGATGAGAGAGAGTTAGTGCGGGCTAACGACTGGAATATGTTACTGTAGAGCGGATGATGATATACATACTTTGTCTTTGCCTTGTTTACGAAACTGAATATGGAAATGGAGTCGAAAGAGGGGACCTACTTACAACTGAATTGAAACAATTGCTTTTGTTGGGGGCAATTTGCTTGTCTTAAATATGAAAAAGAGAAAATCACAAGAGACAAAAAGAGAACATCACCAGATGACTTTTAGCAGACCATGCTAACACAGAGTGCGTCCGTTAGCGTTGTTATTCAGATATGTAGGATGTCAGCAGATAATATCAAAATGGCAATGCCAGAGACTAGCAATTTCCGATTATACGCCGCTTTTAGCAATATTCCATCAATATCACTGCGGAGGAGACCAGAAATGGGCTTCGCACATTTTACCCATGTGGAGAATCGAACTTAGGTCTTCGGCGTGACGAGCGAACACTTTAACCACTATGCTACCCCATTGGGCGTAAAAGCCAAAATATGGTGGACGTTTTATAATGTGTCACTTAAAACGGTGATGACATCATTTGTGCGAGAAATAGGTAACCATGGTGATTAGCATCTACATCAGTCTTTGTTTAGGTCTGTAGTGTAATTAACTTACAGTCTCCATTGGTATCCCTGCGACACGGTGGTGAGTGTGTCGTTTAGGACGGCGTAGTTGTAGCGTTGTTGTCTGGGCACAGAGTTGTAGTCGATCTTACTGAGACTCACCAGAAACTCATCAACCTTCGCCTTAGAAAGAGTAAAATACTCTATTAGTTATAGTTGCACTGTACAGTGAAATCATTTAAAGCCACGTCCAGTTTGTCCATCCACGTCGCCCATCGGACGCTGAGCCCTGGGAAAAGCACGCGCTGCATTTATTAACTAGTGTCCGCATAACAAAGGTGTCACACTATTCTGTAGGTCAAATCTAATTATTTCTTCAGCAGTACACTGAACCATGGCTATTGATTTTTGTACAAATTTAATTAGTAACAGTAGCCAGAAGGTTTGTTAACAGCGAATTTATTAGCATTCCTGGTAGACTGAATTTTCTGAACCAAGGCCTGATAACCTTGGTCGGTGTCACGCTCGCCATTTTGAGACTAGGAGATGCTTTTGAGTCCGAGTGTTCGGTATTAGCTTTGGAACGATGTAAATGTTATTTTTCGTGACTGAACAATTATTAACTTCATGGGATGCACGTAATGAAGTTGAGAGATTGGTGACGTTTGCCGGACTAAACGTATTTAGTCATTGATTCGATTATGTTCTTAATTCAAGTTTCTTTGAAAAACTCGAAATTTTCAATATTTTCGGGTTACTTCTATCATTTTCTCGTAATTTCAAGTTTTTAAAATAAAGTGAATTCGAAATTTCGCTGAAGAAAATATGCATGCTACCATCAAGTTTCATAGTCTTCTGACCATAACAGCACACGTTTGAATTGACTTTTTTATATGAATGTGTATCCTATATTTCACCAATTCAATCGTTGTCACGACTTGGGAGCATGGGGTAGCCTAGCGGTTAATGTGTTAACGCGTTCCCTAAGTCAAAACATTGATTACACAACAGTCTCGTTTCCTGTTGACTGGGTTCCGTCCTATTACGCAACTTAGTACAATAACCAGTCCAGAATATTTAGACCAAGTCATTTAACTGGATACATAAGTATTAATCAGGATTATTTGATACATCTAAGCACTTGTATATTGCAACACTACGCTCCTTATAATCCTTGCAAACATGTCGTGCAGCGTGCTCTGTCGTACAGCGAGCACTGACAAACAGAAACCTGGAAATCGTGGAAATCTCAAAACGAGGCTCTGCCGCTAGAAATGTTTGGGGGTCTGGTACGGACTTGATATTATATCAATCACATTGTGCGTTATAGAAAAAAAACACATAACAGGTGTAACCAGTGAGCCAGATGCATTGTGAATCATTTTACGACCTCATGAAACTACGGCAGTCTGCGACGTCTTAGTTAAGGTCATGCTGCCTACACTTCGCCATAAAATATAGAAATACGATGTTATTAAAGTTTAAAATTAAAATTCATTTGTGAATACCATTTCCTTATGAAACAAGATGTAACCATAGTTGTTTGTGATGCCTATTTCCACTTTCACAAGAGAAATTCGGATCGGCTGAAAAGGAGGTCATTGTCTGAATAGGTTAATGAGACTCATGTTTCGGTTTGTGTGGATGACTGACTGACTGAGTTTGGTTTAACGCCGCTTTTAGCAACATTACAGCAATATCACGGCGGGGGACACCAGAAATGGGCTTCACTCATTGTACCCATGTGGGGATTTGAACCCGGGTCTTCGGCGTGACGAGCCAACGCTTTAACCACTAGACTACCCCACCGCCCCCTTGTGGATGAGCCGGGTTCTATACTCAACATATAATGATGAGTCATTGTACTCAGAGTGGATTTATTGATTGATTCTATTGATAGAAGACGTCGGTGAACAGGTACAAGACACGTAGTTACAGATGTTGTAGTAGATGTAGCAGTGATGGTGCTTGCGGTGGGCGCTGTTGCGGTGGTTGTGGCATAACTAACTAACAACGTAAGTTCCTGTATAGGTAATATGATTTGTGATAGCAGATGTGGCGGAGGTAGTGATTCAGTGTGTTAGTAGCGTGAGCCCAAGTTGTAGCTGATGGATATGGAACATGTAGTGAATCAGTAATTTCTCTCTCTCTCTCGGAAACCAGAAATGGGTTTCACACATTGTACCCATGTGGGGAATTGAACCCGGGTCTTCGGTGTGACGAGCAAACGCTTAAACCACTAGGCTACACCACCGCCACAGTAGTAGAAATATCTTTGGTAGTTGATATGGTAGTGGTAATAGTGTCCTTGGTAGTGAGTCTATGGCAGTGGTAATAGTGTCCTTGGTAGTGAGTCTATGGCAGTGGTAATAGTGTCCTTGGTAGTGAGTCTATGGCAGTGGTAATAGTGTCCTTGGTAGTGAGTCTATGGCAGTGGTAATAGTGTCCTTGGTAGTGAGTCTATGGCAGTGAGTCTATGGCAGTGGTAATAGTGTCCTTGGTAGTGAGTCTATGGCAGTGGTAATAGTGTCCTTGGCAGTGGTAATAGTGTCCTTTGGTAGTGAGTCTATGTGAGTGAGTCTATGGCAGTGGTAATAGTGTCCTTGGTAGTGAGTCTATGGCAGTGGTAATAGTGTCCTTGGTAGTGAGTCTATGGCAGTGGTAATAGTGTCCTTGGTAGTGAGTCTATGGCAGTGGTAATAGTGTCTATTGGTAGTGTCCTTGGTAGTGAGTCTATGGCAGTGGTAATAGTGTCTATGGCAGTGGTAATAGTGTCCTTGGTAGTGAGTCTATGGCAGTGGTAATAGTGTCCTTGGTAGTGAGTCTATGGCAGTGGTAATAGTGTCCTTGGTAGTGAGTCTATGGCAGTGGTAATAGTGTCCTTGGTAGTGAGTCTATGGCAGTGGTATGGTCAGTGAGTCTATGGCAGTGGTAATAGTGTCCTTGGTAGTGAGTCTATGGCAGTGGTAATAGTGTCCTTGGTAGTGAGTCTATGGCAGTGGTAATAGTGTCCTTGGTAGTGAGTCTATGGCAGTGGTAATAGTAGTGAGTCTATGGTAGTGTGGTAGTGTCCTTGGTAGTGAGTCTATGGCAGTGGTAATAGTGTCCTTGGTAGTGAGTCTATGGCAGTGGTAATAGTGTCCTTGGTAGTCCTTGGTAGTGAGTCTATGGCAGTGGTAATAGTGTCCTTGGTGAGTGAGTCCTTGGTAGGCAGTGGTAATAGTGTCCTTGGTAGTGAGTCTATGGCAGTGGTAATAGTGTCCTTGGTAGTGAGTCTATGGCAGTGGTAATAGTGTCCTTGGTAGTGAGTCTATGGCAGTGGTAATAGTGTCCTTGGTAGTGAGTCTATGGCAGTGGTAATAGTGTCCTTGGTAGTGAGTCTATGGCAGTGGTATGGCAGTGGTATAGTGTCCTTGGTAGGAGTCTAGTGAATAGTCTATGGCAGTGGGTAATAGTGTCCTTGGTAGTGAGTCTATGGCAGTGGTAATAGTGTCCTTGGTAGTGAGTCTATGGCAGTGGTAATAGTGTCCTTGGTAGTGAGTCTATGGCAGTGGTAATAGTGTCCTTGGTAGTGAGTCTATGGCAGTGGCTATGGTACTGGAAGTAGTAATGTTTGGAAAGTGGCAGACAGACAGACAGACAGTTTATTCAGTATTTTAGACCAAACGACCCATAGTACAGTTACATATTTTCAAAGTTTACATACTTATCACGTTTTACATCTATATATTTTTCAGAAAACGAGCAACAAAGGTAATAACATCTCGGACAGTGGCTGTTATAGTGGTAGTAGAAGTGAGTTAGGTAGTGTCTATAGTAGTCCTGGTAGCAGTGTGTTTGGAAGTGTCTTTGGCAGTGGCTATTTTAGTGATGGTAGAAGAGTCTAGGGTAGTGGCTATGGGGTGTAGTGGTAGAAGGAGTAGTGGTTATGGAAGTGGTAGCAGGAGTGTATGTGGTAGTGGATGTATGGTATGGTGGTAGGAATATAGTAATAGTAGGAGTTGTGTCCTTGGTAGTTGTCGTATCAGCGTCTTTTGTAGTGGCTATGCTAGAGCTAGTTGCTGTAGCAGACTTGGTGGTTGATATTGTAGTGGCTTGGTTGTGGTAGTAGTAACTGATGTTGTGACGGTATTTGTATTAGTGTTGGTGGTGCTCATGGTGGTTGTACTAGTCGTGGCTGTGGTCATGAGGTAGTAGCTGATAGATGTATGCAAGAGGGTTTATGATGTAATAGCTAACCTTCACAAAGTCCATTTCCCCTAATCCAAACTTATCCAACACATCGTCGTAGTCGTGCACGTTGAGGTAGGTGGCCATCTCCGGGGACTCCTTCAATCGCCACTGGTAATACTGGTCAAACACTGACCCAAGAGAAGCGTCACCTGGTGGGTAGACAAGCAGTGGCCATGTCTGGTTGTAGAGATCAAGACTGAATCAACAGTTTAAATCAAGAACACGCAACTCGTACACTATAAAGGTATGTTCAATGTTGCCTCGTGGTATATATGAACGTCCATATGGACATCACGATCGTGTATTTTAAGCGAAACAGGTAGGACCATTGGGGGTCGATGCATGGAGCATTGCCCTTTACAGTCTCTTGGTATGGTGTGATCAGCAGAGATGAATTCACTGACAAATAACCACCTGCTGATCTGTGTGTCAGGCTGCCTCACAGGTGGCTGAGGTGTTGCTGAGTGACTGCCGAGATAGTACAGTGGTTGTTTTTGTACATTACAATAATGCAGTGGCATACCCACACCCAGCGCTTTGATGTTGGTGTATTGTTGCCGTGATGTTGATTAGTAATACCGTTACAGTTTGTGATGTTATGATATATTGTGCTATGATAATGCTGTTATGTAGACGCGCTGCTGTGATAATACTGCTGTTATGATGTGATGTCGTTTTCTGCGATGTTCCGTTTGAAGTTAACTCAAAAGGTTCCGCATTTACTAATTCAATCATGTAAATACATGCGTGTCACGTGAAAGCTGACACTCTTGTGTGGCAGCTTTCATAGCGTCTACCTCACCTGCGACGACAGCGACGATCACGGCGAGCACTGCGACGGACGTCAACATCCTTACAACCTGCAACAGAGACAACGTTGTGTGGTGTTTCCGCAAAAATGATAATGCATCATTGTTATCAACAAAAATATTGAGATAATAACTCGACAGATGATGACCAGTGAGGTGACTGATGACGATACATACTGCACAAATTCCAAACTCTCAGTCCCTTGTCAATTATTACCTCATAACCTATGTAAACACATGCACAACAGACAGAATTATGTAAACCCTGAAGACGTGTAAAATTATAACATTAGTCTTTTTTCTTGTATTCATTTTCAAATGTTTACCGGAGTACAAATCCTTGACCGATAATGAAGCCTATTTAACTCCATACAATGTATATATATATCAAGTCAAGTTATTAATACACGGTTACAATAAAATTTAATACAAGGAATATCCAAATTTGCAAGAACTGACCTTTCTCCTTCTGACCAGCAATTCCAATGTGACTCTGATAGCAGGGTGACAGGTGTCCAGCTCCCACAATGTAGTCTGTCCCAGCAGATGTCCAAGCTAAACGTACGTGTATGCGGTAGCTGGAGCGCACAGGATAGGACGATAGAGGAACAGATTACAACAACCTTCTTATAGTGCTTTGTTCAGTTTACCTGTTTGAAAGTGACTGACTTGCGATTTAACCAAGGATGTGTGTACACGTCATTCAGTATTCCATATACACGTGCAACGTTTGATTGCACACGTGCAATGATTCGTGTACCGCTGATCAGTTCCACCATCTGGAACAGCCGCACAGCAGGAGTAACCTTCAAGGGAAATCCGTTCTGGGTTCCTGTCCACCAGCTAGCTTAAGAGTTAAGATCGGGATTCGAACACGGTCAGATGAGTAAGTGAGTTTAGTTTTACGCCGCACTCAGCAATATTCCAGCTATATGGCGGCGGTCTGTAAATCATCGAGTATGGACCAGACAATCCAGTGATCAACAGCATGAGCATCGATCTACGCAATTGGGAACCGATGACTTGTGTCAACCAAGTCAGCGAGCCCGACCACCCGATCCCGTTAGTCACCTCTTACGACAAGCATAGTCGTCTTTTGTGGCAAGCATGGGTTGCTGAAGACCTATTGTACCCCGGATCTTCCCCGGACCGACTAAGGGCCCTTCCATTAATCAAACTTCGGAGACCTGCTCTATTTCCCCTGCCATACTCAATCAGGAACAGCTTCTTTCAGTACATGATGAGTGATGTGCAGATTCCGACGGTGACTTGGATATTCCTCTCAGTGAAAGTAACACCGTTAATGTTTCTACCCATTTCTCTTGTCCACTGGTAGAACAGCGAACAGCAACTATAACTGGGCGAAGATTGAACATTTCTAACGTAATTTCCGAAGTGTTATATTCTATTTTAGCTCGATGTTACTAAGTGTGAAAGAGCCTCGTCTTGTGTTGTTGATAAACGCTTAACAAATGTATGCGTTGTTGGGTGGGATTTCGTTATCGAATTCTGTTGAGTTCTGTTTTCACTATAATGAGCACACTATCCTCTGTGCAAGAAGATATACATAAGTAAGTGAGTAAGTAAGTAAGAGAATGGTGTTTGAAAAAAGGGTACTTCAAGCTGAAGCGATGACCCACGTCATCGGATACTGCCACACACGTACCCAGCTAAGACCCGAGAGTAGACATCACCCAACACGTACCTAGCTTAGACCCGAGAGTAGACATCACCCCACACGTAGCCAGCTTAGACCCGAGAGTAGACTACGCCTCACACGTACCTAGCTTAGACCCGAGAGTAGACATCACCCCACACGTACCCAGCTTAGACCCGAGAGTAGACTACACCTCACACGTACCCAGCTTAGACCCGAGAGTAGACTACACCTCACACGTACCCAGCTTAGACCCGAGAGTACACCTCACACGACTAGCTTAGACACCACCTCACACGTACCCAGCTTAGACCCGAGAGTAGACTACACCTCACACGTAGCCAGCTTAGACCCGAGAGTAGACTACACCCCTCACACGTACCCAGCTTAGACCACATCACCACACGTAGCCAGCTTAGACCCGAGAGTAGACTACGCCTCACACGTACCTAGCTTAGACCCGAGAGACATCACCCCCACACGTCACTTAGACGTACCCAGTAGCCAGCTTAGACCCGAGAGTAGACTACACCCTCACACGTACCTTAGGACCCGAGTAGACTACACACACGTAGCCAGCTTAGACCCGAGAGTCCACCTCACACGTAGCCAGCTTAGACCCGAGAGTAGACTACACCTCACACGGCTTAGACCCGAGAGTTACACCTCACACATATCCAGCTTAGACCCGGGTTGTAGACGGGAAATACACTACACCACTTGTGTACCCTGGGTTGTAGACCAGGGAATACACTACACCACTTGTGTACTCGGGGCTGTACCGGAAGTACACTACACCACTTGTGTACCCTGGGTTGTAGACCAGGGAATACACTACACCACTTGTGTACTCGGGGCTGTACCGGAAGTACACTACACCACTTGTGTACCTTGGGTTGTAGACCGGAAATACACACCACTTGTTTACCTGGGTTGTACACCAGAAATACACTACACCACTTGTGTACTCGGGGCTATAGACCGTAAATACACTACACCACTTGTGTACTCGGGGCTATAGACCGTAAATACACTACACCACTTGTGCACTCGGGGTTGTAGACCGGGGAATACGCTTCACCACTTGTGTACCCCGGGTTGCAGACCGGAAATACACTACATCACTTGTGTACCCTGGGTTGTAGACCGGAAGTACACCACACCACTTGTGTACCCTGGGTTGTAGACCGGAAATACAATACACCATTTGTGTACTCGGGGTTGTAGACCGGGGAATACGCTTCACCACTTGTGTACCCTGGGTTGTAGTCCGGAAATACACTACACCACTTGTGTACCCCGGGTTGCAGACCGGAAATACACTACATCTCTTGTGTACCCCGGGTTGTAGACCGGAAATACACTACACCACTTGTGTACCCCGGGTTGCAGACCGGAAATACACTACACCACTTGTGTACCCCGGGTTGCAGACCGGAAATACACTACATCACTTGTGTACCCTGGGTTGTAGACCGGAAGTACACTACACCACTTGTGTACCCTGGGTTGTAGACCGGAAATACAATACACCATTTGTGTACTCGGGGATGCAGACAGGGGAATACACTTCACCACTTGTGTACCCTGGGTTGTAGACCGGAAATACAATACACTACTTATGTTCTCGGGGTTGCAGACCTTGGAATACACTTCACCACTTGTGTACCTTGGGTTGTAGACCGGAAATTCACTACACCACTTGTGTACTCCGGACTGTAGACCGGAAATACAATACACCACTTATGTACTCGGGGTTGTAGACCAGGGAACAGAGTCCACCACTTATGTACCCTTGGTTGTAGACCGGGAATACGCTACACAACTTGTGTACCCCGGATTGTAGAACGGAAATACGCTACATCACTTGTGTACCCCGGATTGTAGACCGGAAATACACTTTACCACTTGTGTTCCCGGAGTAGTTGACTCAGGAATACGCTACACCATTGTGTACCCCGGATTGTAGACCGGAAATACACTATACCACTTGTGTTCCCCGGAGTAGTTGACTCAGGAATACGCTTCACCACTTGTGTACCCCAATCTGGGCCAGTGTAATGCATGTCATGTCTGTGGTGGGGCAAGAGAAGGCCGTTATTTCAGTTTTTTACCACTTATTTTTTTCTGTTTGAACAATTACACGCTGTCTGACATTACCATTAACTGTTCGAAAATCGGACGGCGTATACCTGGTAGTTTGACGGTAGACTATACTCTAAAACATTCACTGACACAAGTCAGCAGACGGCGGACATAGCCTTACGTCATGACCGAAACACCAGTCGCGCAGTGCAGGAGTTAGTTGAAAATAAGCATTTATTCTACCAAAGCTTACATAAAAGTATGTAAGGTAAACAGAAGCATTATTCAACATGGTATTGTTGTTTACTTGACTTGCAAAATGTTTGGGGTATTCTGTCTGTTTGTCTTCTGTGGATAGATATACACACCAAGCCTTCTGTCTGATATGTGTGTGTGTGTGTGTGTGTGTGTGTGTGTGTGTGTGTGTGTGTGTGTGTGTCTGTCTGTCTGTCTGTCTCTGTGTGAGGCACTATGTCAGTGTGTGGAGTTCTACCTAAGTAGTAGCTAAGACCTATATGTGCCAAACTCTATCAAACTATAAAGAGTTGTGAAGAAGTGCTTTTCGCTCTTGCTTCTAGTAGTTACTTTCATTGACCACAAAAAGCATCATAGAATACAGATAATAAACTATATGACTGCTGCGTCACTTTAATATCTGTAACTATGCAAATACCTAATTTCGCTCTTGCTCTACCTATTTCTTGTTAGTTACTTTCATAAAACAAATGACAACAAAAAAGCAAGAACAGATCTACAAGGATTAATATTTATTATACCAACAACCAGTAATGAATTTATTATGGACATCTATCACAGATTTCAGCCAATATATTATGAAATATTCCATCGAAAACTATGTTTTTGGCACGAAAATATGGATTAAAAAGCACAAATGATGAAATTATGTTAATCTCGAAAATACCATCAAGAGTGAGATGAAGATAACATAAAATAACCTTATACCGCGAAACATCGAGTTTTCGAATATTATGAGTGTACCTAAAAGTTGTTAATTTCGATGGAATATAAATAAAATATATTCAGTGTGAATACATATCATGGAACATGATTTCATATTCAGACGGGAAAGCACCATCGTGAATTTCGGCAATTTTCGGCAATTTCCGAAAACAATGAAATTTCCGAAGATTTCCGAAGGAATATACCTTTTCTCAGTATACAAAAAGTTCGAAATCGAAACGAAAATTTTGAACAATCATCTGAGATGGACATATTCTGGACATAAGTACTACATCAAAGTACTATCTAAACTAACTGGCGATGAAGAAGTGCGTAGCATCACTAAGCCTAGGGTGAACGCATAGACTAGGTTGTGAAACATGTCTACAGAGCTGCGTGTGCCCTTGAAAGGAAGACCTGTCTATATTTACACACATTGTTTAATTGAAATCACTTTTGTTAAAATATGTGCCTCAAAATTTGAAACATTTTTTATTTGTTTATGAATACCAACATTCGTTGTCTCTGTTACATACACCAAGATAGTGTAAAACATCAAACATTCGTTTTGAGAAACAAACCTAAAAAGACACGTATTGCAATGCAAAAGCTAAAGAAATATCCCACAGGAAAGTCACATGTATGGAGGATTTCCTTAAAGACCAAAATTTATCATTTTCTGAAATGAGAACGCAACAGTAGTTGCGTAAAACATAAAAAATGAATGAATCAGGTCTTTGGGAAATGTTGTAACACCACGCTATACAGAGTTACTTCCCTTAGGTCAGGCCATCGATAGTGTGGTGAATCAATATGTGCCTCCAGATAACAACAGAAAAGAACAAACTATACTGTCAAAATAACAAGACAAATAAAAGTCTGTATAAAATAATTTTCACATCACAATAAATATATCAAGTAACTACATATATAGAATAGCACGTATATACTAACGAAAATATATAAAGTAAAAAGCAAATGAAATGTTTAATTTCATCTCAACCTCAATTGTTTGATGAAAGAAATTGAAAATTGCCTTTAAGGGGCAGAGCGTTAAGATCTTCAAAAAGCAAAAATAATTAAACAATATAAGAATAAAAAGGAATTAAACCTAAGAAGACAAAAATGAAAAAAATTCTTGCTCATAAAATATCGGTTAAAATAAGTGTTTCTATATACTATGGAGGTAAAACGTGTATTGCGAAATAAGATGAGAATTTTGCTACTCTGACATATTGCCTTTGCTGAGAATTTGTTGGGCAAAGCGGACTGAAAAAGCAAAGTGCATGTAGTGATTGTTACGGATATGACACATTGTGAGATTCTTGTCTTATTCAGTTCATGGATCAGTTCAGTTCATTCATTCACGCTTGTGCACCAACAGCAGCTGGTCCAGGGACGTTCGTCATCCAAGGAGGAGTTCCTTTGTGGAAATCAGCGCTGTACGTTGTAGAGCTATCGAACTTTGCGTTACTCGAGAAAGGTACCGGAGCAGGTTTGAAGCTGTTGGCTTTGGAGCCATGGCGGTTTATGAACTCAGCCTGATGAGTTGTCATACCCTGAAAGGGTACGGGATTCGGGACAAAGGCTTCTTTTACTTTCCGTTCAGGACGATTTGCTGCTTCTGACTTCTGGAAACTATTGCTGTAGTTTGTTCCAAAATCAATTTTTCCTTCGAACTTAAGTGCTCCAGATGACGTGGGTCTTTTAGAAGCCTGTCTCCCTGTAGTTTCCGGCTGTTTAAAGTACTCATTGTTTGTCGTTCTAAGATCCATCTGTCCCTCAGGTCGGACATAAGCATCTTGTCTCTTCACAGGTCGACTCCCAACCTGGTAACTACCGTAATCACGCCTTGCTGTGGTGGTACTCTCTACAGGAGCACTTGACCTTAATGTATTTTCAGCTGGTTTAAGTGCCGTTCTTTTGGGAACCGTCGTGCCTGTGAAGTCTTGCATATTTGTTGTGACGCCATGGAATGGTTCTTTTGGATAATTATATTCTTCCTTCTGCTTGATTGTCTTTTGAGATAACTGATGTTCCTTAAATGTATCCCTATAACCCGTGCTACCCATGAAAGGTTCCTGTGACTTCTGGACTGTGTGTGTTGGTTTGAAATTCTGCCTCTGAGTCAAAGTATGCTCTGTGAAGTCTCTCTTGCTTGTCGTGTCACTGGCCATAGGTACTGCTGGAGACACATATTCTGGATTCTTCTTTACAGGTCGGGAAGCGAGGTCATGGGTTTTAAAGTCAGCACCATAACTGGTTGAGCCCTCAAACTGACCACCACTCTTCATGACTCCAGATGACAAAGGTTTGGTAACAGTTTGTTGCCTTGGTGTGTCCTTAGCTGTAAAGTTTATTCTGTTCGTTGTGTTGAAATCAAATCCTCCCTCTGGCGTTGTATAAGCCTGTCTCTCTTTGACCCACCTTGGCTCCACTTTATGTGCCTTGAAATCCTGTTTGGCTGTAGTTGTACCCTCCAAAGGAACACCAGATGTGTAAGGTTCCATACTGGGTCTGTAGCTCTGCTGCTTGGGGGCAAACACTCCTTTGTAGCTATCACCAGTTGTTGTTGAACCAGAGAATTTCGTGGCTGGGGCAATATACTCAGATTTTGCCTTCAGCTGTTTGGGCTGGATTTCGTGACCAACAAAGGTGTCACTGTAACCAGTTCTACCATCAAAAGGAATATCAAGCTTTGGAACATCAGTGGGGGGCTTGAAACTTTGCCTTGGTTCAATGCTTTTCTCAGTGAAGGCCATTCTATTGGTGGTATTGCCTTCCATCTTCACAGCTGGAGGTACATAGTCCTGGCTTTTCTTGACAGTCTCTCTTGGATGTACACCATGGGATACAAAGTCAGCATTATACCGTGTAGAGCCTTCAAATTTACCCTTCATTTCCATGATGTGGGATGACTCTTGTCTCTTGATGGTTTCTCTTGGCGATGCTTTTGAAGTAAACTGCTGTTGATTTATTGTGCTAAAGTCCATCGAGCCATCAGGCTTCCTGTACGGTTCGGGAACAACGACTTTGCGTGGTTCAATCTTGTGTTCTTGGTAATCATTCCTGGCCGTGGTTGTTCCATCTAATGGAACATTTGATCGATAGGGTTCCCCACTGGGCTTATAACTCTTTTGCTTTGGTACAAAATCCCCCTTGAAGCTGTCAGATGTTGTTGTACTCCCAACAAACTTCACAGTTGGAGCTGTGTATGGAACCACTTTGTGAGGAACCTTTGGTGGTAGCTGATGTTTGGGATAGTCAAGTTGTTGACTAGAAGCTGTCGCCATGGACACTGTTGGTCGCTGATAACTTTCCTTCTTGTTCAACAGTTCACGAGGGGTAATGTCATGGCCCTTAAAATCAGATCCATAGCTTGTTCCTGAATCAAACTGTCCATTTATTTCCATGATGTGTGCAGACTCTGGACGTTTGACTGGCTCCCTGACTGCTGCCTTTTCAGTGTAGTTGTCCCTGTTTGTAGTGCTGAAATTCATATCACCTTCTGGCTTCTTGTAAGGATTCTTCTGTATAGCTATTCTAGGCTCAACCTTATGTTCACAATAATCGAACTTGTTCGTAGTTTGATCATTTAAAGGAACTCCGGTTTGAAGAGGTTCATTGCGTGGCTTATAACTTTCCCTAGGGGTGATTTCATGTTCAATGAATTCAGATCTGTTTGTGGACATTGCTTCAAACTTGCCTTCTGGTCTCACATACTGAACCGGTTCTTTGATTCTTCTGGGTTCAATCTGATGCTCTTGGTAGTCCATTCTTGCTGTTGTCTGATCATCAAAAGGGACATTCGATCTTTGAACTGCATCAGTCGGTTTGAAACTCTCCCGTTGAGACAATGCATGTTCAGGGTAGTCCAGTCGATTGGATGTGGTGCTTTCCATTGCACCTTCAGGCTTGATGTATGGATGGGCCTCCCTTTTACCTCTTGGCTCTATATTGTGCTCAGGGTAATCTTCACGGGTAGTGGTCTTATCATCAAACGGATCATCAGACTTCTGGACAGAATGAACGGGCTTATAACTCACTCTTTGCGAAATGACATGCTCAGGGTAATCAGACCTGTTAGTTGTTGCACCTTCCATCTTCCCCTCGGGCTTTACATACTCCTGTGGAAGCCATTTGGCCCGTGTCTGAATTTCATGTTCTGGATAATCAGCCCGATTGGTGGTGTTGCCATCAAATGGTACATCAGTATGTAGGGCTGTGGCTGCAGGTTTGAAACTTTCACGTGGAGTGAGTTCATGTTCTGGAAAGTCCGACCGGTTGGTGGTGATGCTGTTCATTTCTCCATCTGGTTTTACATACTTTAAATGCTCTCTCCTTTGTCTTGGCTCAATCTGATGCTCTGGGTAGTCCATTCTTGCTGTTGTCTGATCATCAAAAGGGACATTCGATCTTTGAACTGCATCAGTCGGTTTGAAACTCTCCCGTTGAGACAATGCATGTTCAGGGTAGTCCAGTCGATTGGATGTGGTGCTTTCCATTGCACCTTCAGGCTTGATGTATGGATGGGCCTCCCTTTTACCTCTTGGCTCTATATTGTGCTCAGGGTAATCTTCACGGGTAGTGGTCTTATCATCAAACGGATCATCAGACTTCTGGACAGAATGAACGGGCTTATAACTCACTCTTTGCGAAATGACATGCTCAGGGTAATCAGACCTGTTAGTTGTTGCACCTTCCATCTTCCCCTCGGGCTTTACATACTCCTGTGGAAGCCATTTGGCCCGTGTCTGAATTTCATGTTCTGGATAATCAGCCCGATTGGTGGTGTTGCCATCAAATGGTACATCAGTATGTAGGGCTGTGGCTGCAGGTTTGAAACTTTCACGTGGAGTGAGTTCATGTTCTGGAAAGTCCGACCGGTTGGTGGTGATGCTGTTCATTTCTCCATCTGGTTTTACATACTTTAAATGCTCTCTCCTTTGTCTTGGCTCAATCTGATGCTCTGGGTAGTCCATTCTCGCTGTTGTCTGATCATCAAAAGGGACATTCGATCTTTGAACTGCATCAGTCGGTTTGAAACTCTCCCGTTGAGACAATGCATGTTCAGGGTAGTCCAGTCGATTGGATGTGGTGCTTTCCATTGCACCTTCAGGCTTGATGTATGGATGGGCCTCCCTTTTACCTCTTGGCTCTATATTGTGCTCAGGGTAATCTTCACGGGTAGTGGTCTTATCATCAAACGGATCATCAGACTTCTGGACAGAATGAACGGGCTTATAACTCACTCTTTGCGAAATGGCATGCTCAGGGTAATCAGACCTGTTAGTTGTTGCACCTTCCATCTTCCCCTCGGGCTTTACATACTCCTGTTGAAGCCGTTTGACCCGTGTCTGAATTTCATGTTCTGGATAATCAGCCCGATTGGTGGTGTTGCCATCAAATGGTACATCAGTATGTAGGGCTGTGGTTGCAGGTTTGAAACTTTCACGTGGAGTGAGTTCATGTTCTGGAAAGTCCGACCGGTTGGTGGTGATGCTGTTCATTTCTCCATCTGGTTTTACATACTTTAAATGCTCTCTCCTTTGTCTTGGCTCAATCTGATGCTCTGGGTAGTCCATTCTCGCTGTTGTCTGATCATCAAAAGGGATATTCGATCTTTGAACTGCATCAGTCGGTTTGAAACTCTCCCGTTGAGACAATGCATGTTCAGGGTAGTCCAGTCGATTGGATGTGGTGCTTTCCATTGCACCTTCAGGCTTGATGTATGGATGGGCCTCCCTTTTACCTCTTGGCTCTATATTGTGCTCAGGGTAATCTTCACGGGTAGTGGTCTTATCATCAAACGGATCATCAGACTTCTGGACAGAATGAACGGGCTTATAACTCACTCTTTGCGAAATGGCATGCTCAGGGTAATCAGACCTGTTAGTTGTTGCACCTTCCATCTTCCCCTCGGGCTTTACATACTCCTGTTGAAGCCGTTTGACCCGTGTCTGAATTTCATGTTCTGGATAATCAGCCCGATTGGTGGTGTTGCCATCAAATGGTACATCAGTATGTAGGGCTGTGGCTGCAGGTTTGAAACTTTCACGTGGAGTGAGTTCATGTTCTGGAAAGTCCGACCGGTTGGTGGTGATGCTGTTCATTTCTCCATCTGGTTTTACATACTTCAAATGCTTTCTCTCCCTTGTCTTGGCTCAATCTGATGCTCTGGGTAGTCCATTCTTGCTGTTGTTTGATCGTCAAAAGGCATATTGGATTTTTGAACTGTGTCTACAGGTCTGAAACTTTCCCGAGGTGGAAGGACATGTTCAGGATAGTCCAAACGGTTGGATGTGTTACCATCCATCACACCATCCGGCTTCACATATGGTACTTGCTCCCTCCTCTTTCGAGGCTCAATCATGTGTTCAGGATAATCCTGTCTCGTTGTAGTTTTATCATCAAAAGGGTCTTCAGATCCCTGCACAGAGTTCACTGGCTTAAAACTTTGCCTGGGTGTAATTTCATGTTCGGGAAATTCTGAACGATTGGTCGTAGCCACTTCCATTTTCCCCTCTGGTCTGATGTATTGTTGAGGTTGTCGTACCTGCCTTGGCTCGATTTGATGTTCAGGGAAGTCTGATCTGTTGGTGAATGATTAATTAAGTTATCGATGAAACAATCATCGAGAATTTTATGGCGTGATATTTATCATTAGTATTATAAGTATACAAACCATATGCCTACATGTGTGTTTAAAATAGATGAAATGGCAATGTGTTTTTGACATATAACAAAGTATTTGCTTTCATATCCTTGCCTTGGTGTCATGTGCATTTTCCTGAGGACATCTGATACCAAATATAAAGCAAGAGCAACAGCATCACATATCCTAATATCTATACTGCTTTCTAAAATCTTGACCAGGTCCCATCCTTACTAACCTGGCTGTTGTCCTATCTTCAAATGGATCATCAGACTTCAGAACAGCATTTGCAGGTTTGAAACTCTGCCTTGGTGTAAGTTGGTGTTCAGGATATTCCAGTCTGTTTGTGGACAAACCTTCCATCTTTCCTTCAGGCTTCATATATTTCTCAGGTGCTCTTCTTTGCCGAGGTTCAATTATGTGTTCAGGGAAATCCTGTCTAGCTGTTGTCTTATCTTCAAATGGATCAGTTGACTGCTGAACTGAATTAGTGGGTTTATAACTCTGACGAGTGGAAAGTTCATGTTCAGGATAGTCCAAACGGTTGGATGTGTTACCATCCATCACACCATCCGGCTTCACATATGGTACTTGCTCCCTCCTCTTTCGAGGCTCAATCATGTGTTCAGGATAATCCTGCCTCGCTGTAGTTTTATCATCAAATGGGTCTTCAGATCTCAGCACAGAGTTCACTGGCTTAAAACTTTGCCTGGGTGTGAGTTCATGTTCAGGAAATTCTGAGCGATTAGTGGTATTCCCGTCCATTTTCCCTTCTGGTTTGATGTATTGCTGAGGCTGTCGCCTCTGCCTTGGCTCAATCCGATGTTCAGGGAAGTCAGATCTGAATGTGAACGATTAGTCGAGTTATCTACGAAATGAACGCTTCTTTTAATTGTGCTTTGGGGTATTAACAATCTACAACTGATATTCAAACACCTGTTAGCTTTTTTAGAAAGTGTTTTCATAATATGAACTACCCTTCAGTGTAAATATCAGTGTGCAAAGTTACACGGTAAGCAGAAGCCTGTTGAAACATTGTATCTGCTTGGGAAAAATATGCATACCAAGACAAACGCGAGAATCGATGAAAGTCATTTCATTACTTTTGAAAAGAAATCGTTTCATACACAGAAACCATCAAATTTCTGAAATGGCTTCACCCACTTCCAATCTTAACGGAATTTGAGTTTGATATCATCCCAATCATTTTCCTTCCTTACTAACCTGGCGGTTGTCCTGTCTTCAAATGGATCATCAGACTTCAGAACAGCATTTGCAGGTTTGAAGCTCTGCCTTGGCGTAAGTTGGTGTTCAGGATATTCCAGTCTGTTTGTGGACAAACCATCCATCTTTCCTTCAGGCTTCACATATTTCTCAGGTACTCTTCTTTGCCGAGGTTCAATTATGTGTTCAGGGAAATCCTGTCTAGCTGTTGTCTTATCTTCAAATGGATCAGTTGATTGCTGAACTGAATTAGTGGGTTTATAACTCTGACGAGTGGAAAGTTCATGTTCAGGATAGTCCAAACGGTTGGATGTGTTACCATCCATCACACCATCCGGCTTCACATATGGTACTTGCTCCCTCCTCTTTCGAGGCTCAATCATGTGTTCAGGATAATCCTGCCTCGCTGTAGTTTTATCATCAAATGGGTCTTCAGATCTCTGCACAGAGTTCACTGGCTTAAAACTTTGTCTGGGTGTGAGTTCATGTTGAGGGAATTCTGAGCGATTAGTGGTATTCCCTTCCATTTTCCCTTCTGGTTTGATGTATTGCTGAGGCTGTCGCATCTGCCTTGGCTCAATCTGATGTTCAGGGAAGTCAGCTCTGAATGTGAACGATTAGTCGAGTTATCTATGACATGAACGCTTCTTTAAATTGTATCTGGACGCATTAACAATCAACAACTTAAGCCAAAACACGAAACCTATTGATTTCTTTAGAAATAAATTTCATAGTATGAACCATCATTCATTGTAAATATCAGTGTGTCACATCACACTGTAAGGAGAAACCTGCTTAAACATTGTATCTGCTTGAAACTTAAAATTACCTGTATATCAAGGCAAATGCAAGAATCGATGTGAGTCATTTCACTACTTTTGAAAAGAAATCATTTCAAACACAGAAACCATCAAATTTCTGAAATGGCTTCACCCACTTCCAATCTTAACGGAATTTGAGTTTGATATCCCAATCATTTTCCTTCCTTACTAACCTGGCGGTTGTCCTGTCTTCAAATGGATCATCAGACTTCAGAACAGCATTTGCAGGTTTGAAACTCTGCCTTGGTGTAAGTTGGTGTTCAGGATATTCCAGTCTGTTTGTGGACAAACCATCCATCTTTCCTTCAGGCTTCACATATTTCTCAGGTGCTCTTCTTTGCCGAGGTTCAATTATGTGTTCAGGAAAGTCCTGTCTAGCTGTTGTCTTATCTTCAAATGGATCAGTTGACTGCTGAACTGAATTAGTGGGTTTATAACTCTGACGAGTGGGAAGTTCGTGTTCAGGATAGTCCAAACGGTTGGATGTGTTACCATCCATCACACCATCCGGCTTCACATATGGTACTTGCTCCCTCCTCTTTCGAGGCTCAATCATGTGTTCAGGATAATCCTGCCTCGCTGTAGTTTTATCATCAAATGGGTCTTCAGATCTCTGCACAGAGTTCACTGGCTTAAAACTTTGCCTGGGTGTAATTTCATGTTGAGGGAATTCTGAGCGATTAGTGGTATTCCCTTCCATTTTCCCTTCTGGTTTGATGTATTGCTGAGGCTGTCGCCTCTGCCTTGGCTCAATCTGATGTTCAGGGAAGTCTGATCTGAAGGGAGAATAGTTCTCCAAATCAACAATGAACTGTGGATACTATCTGTTACCCGATTATCTTCACATTTTTTTCACATCTGATTTCAGAATAAATTTTCAAACAGCAAACAAAACCAATGACATCAACAAGACACTTCACCAGAATAAATGCGATAAATAATTAATTATTTCAGTAGTAACATCTGTAAAACATCAAACGTCATATTTAAATCTTGAATATAAAAAATACAATGATGACAACTGCAATTGAAATTAGTGGCACTTCAGTTCAGTGTCTCTCCACTTTTCAGACTGTACTAACCTTGCTGTAGTTTTATCTTCAAATGGATCATCTGATATGACAGCGGCATTGGCAGGTTTGAAACTCTGTCTTGGAGTAAGCTGGTGCTCAGGATACTCCAAATGGTTTGTAGATAAACCCTCCATCTTGCCTTCAGGCTTCGCATATTGTTCCCTAACTCTTCTTTGCCTGGGTTCAACCTTATGTTCAGGATAATCTTTTCTAGATGTCGTTGTATCATCCAATGGTTCCTCATATCGTTGTACAGTGTTTGAAGGCTTGTAACTCTTTCGAGGTGACAATTCATGTTCAGGATAATCCAACTGATTTGACGTGTTCTTCTCCATGACTCCATCTGGTCTCATATACTGTTGAGGTTGACGTCTCTGTCTAGGTTCAATTTTGTGCTCAGGAAAATCTTGCCTGTTAAGGGAATTACAAAACAGTTCTACAGGAAAACAAGAGGTCATGCAACTAAAACTATAATTATATATGACAGCATTTCTAGTTATATAAAAAATACATGTAATACCAAACACTAGCCAATAACTACAACTACTATTCAAACTCTTAACTAAAATATTTTGTGTCCATATGTTCTTGGGAAAACTGATAATACTAACCTAGAGGTAGTGTTATCATTGAACGGATCATCAGACTTCTGAACATTATGAGTAGGCTTGAAGCTTTGCCTTTGTGTGATTTGATGTTCTGGGAACTCTGCCCGGTTTGTTGATACACCGTCCATTGCACCTTCTGGTCTGACATACTTCTGGTATTCTCTGCGGTTCCTTGGTTCCACAGCATGTTCAGGGAAATCTTGCCTGGAGGTGGTCTTATCTTCAAATCGATCAGTAGACTGTTGGACAGTGCTAGCAGGTTTGAAACTTTGTCTCTTTTGCAATTCATGTTCAGGAAATTCAGATCTGGTGGTCGAAAGACCCTCCATTTTTCCTTCTGGTCTGGCATATTTCTGCTGTTCCCTTCTTTTCCTTGGTTCAACGGCATGTTCTGGATAGTCCTGCCTAGCAGTTGTGGTACTGTCAAATGGGTCCTCAGACTTCATAACGCTGTTTGCAGGTTTGTAGCTCTTTCTAGGTGAGAGTTCGTACTGTGGAAAGGCAGACTTCGTTGTAGTGGTACCATCCATCTTACCTTCAGGTTGAACATACTGCCTTTGCTGTCTCTTTTGGCGTGGGGTGACTGTATGCTCAGGATAATCCGACTTTGAGGTCGTTTGCTTCTCAAATGGATCCTCTGACCTCTGAACAATGTGAGAAGGTTTGTAGCTTTGCCTCGGGGTTATCTCATGCTCAGGAAACTCGGATTTACTAGTCGATACACCTTCCATTTTATCAACTGGTTTAACATACAGTTGAACATCCCGTCGTTTCCGTGGTTCTATTGCATGCTCTGGAAAATCACGTCTCGCTGTAGTTTTATCATCAAATGGGTCCTCAGATTTCTGAAACGTACTGGTTGGTTTATAGCTCTTCCTTGGAGAAATTGTATGTTCAGGAAAATCAAGACGGTTGGATGTATTACCCTCCATTGTACCTTCTGGTCTGACATATTGCTGGACCTCTCGCCTTCTCCGGGGTTCAATCTGATGTTCTGGATATTCTTTTCGGTTTGTTGTGCTCCCATCAAAAGGATCCTCAGACTTTAGTGCAGCGTTCATCGGTTTGTAACTCTGCCGTGGCTGTAAAGGATGCTCTGGAAATTCTGTTTTAGTAGTAGAAGTTCCATCCATTTTCCCATCTGGTTTCACGTATTGCTGAGGCTCCCACCTCTTTCTAGGTTCTACTGGGTGCTCAGGATACTCCGATCGAGTGACGGTGTTGCTATCGAAAGGGTCTTTCGAACTGAGAACAGCATTTGCTGGTTTAAAACTTTGCCTTGGCGTCAGTTCATGTTCAGGATAGTTCAGACGATTGATGGTATCTCCTTCCATGCGACCTTCTGGTTTCTGGTATGCCTGAGTTTGACGCTTTTGACGGGGCTCTATCTTGTGCTCTGGATAATCAGATCTTGCGGTAGTTTTGTTTTCAAGTGGTGCATCAGATCTGTATGGGTCAGAATTGGGTTTATAGCTCTTTTGTTTCGGTAAATAACTTCCCTTAAAATCATCTTTAGCTGTGGATGACCCTAAGAAGGGATCTTTCGGAGGGTTCCACAAAGCTCGTTCTCTGGGCTTCCGTTCAGGCAGCTCCCATTCAGGGTAGTCTTGTCTGTGATTGGAAAATAAACACAATATTTAGAACCATGCACCACTGAACCTGTCACCTAACCTGTTAATATGATATGCGTTTACTTTAACATAGAATTAATTCATATAATTAAGTTGCAATGATGACACCACCCGACACATATTGGATAATATTCAAGGATGTCATGACTATGCTGTAAAGCGAAATCCAGTATTCTGCATTCAAACAACAATAAAACAATTAGGAATTATTTTCCACAAAGAAATGACAGAAGTACTATTATTCATCGATACGTCCTTGTTATGAACTATGAAAATAACTAGCACCACCCCTCCTTTACATTCATGCATCATTTACTTTTAGAAATGTTGTATCTTTTAGAAATGTTGTATGTTTTAGAAATGTTGTATCTTTTAAAAATGTTGTATCTTTTAGAAATGTCTTCTGATGACGTTGATATCATGTTGATTAGTATGTAAGAAGTCACCAAGAACTGCAAAACAAGCTGTGACAAAAAATGACCAGGGCCCAGAATAGGTTGCTGTGGGCCTGGTTTGTAAACACCTCCCTCCCATATCATATTCAAAACCAATGAAGTGACTTTGTGACGTACAGTATGTCATAGAACGCCATTCATATCAACTGCACTGATGTCCGGCAGATTGGAGCTATCTTGGGTGAGTGCGTGCGGCACCACTTGCCTGACCATAACAGACTATAGATTGATACTTCCCCTTTATCTCAAGCGTGGCCAAGGGGCATTATCATAAATAACTAACACTATTTACTTATTACTGCGTGCAGGATCAACTCCATCCTAATATATTATTCAGCGTAACAATCTGTTCCATTTGAGGTTCCAATCTGGTTGCAATGTTTTCTTGGCCTCGTCAAAATTAAACGTTATATCCAAGGTTCATTATGTCTAGTGTGAGAGTGAGTTGGATTTTTTATGTTTGCGTTTTCTTACAACTATACAGAGAGGGAACAAATATATACGCTGTACATCTAAAACTGATTCGGTCTTTGCAAAATGAACACTACGACCAGGGCCATTACAAGGGACATGTTATCCTCGTCAAGTGCAACTGTTTTGAATTGTCTGTTTCACTTACATCCCATGACAACAGAGGGGTCACCTGCATCACATGTCAACACACATCTGCATGTAAGGGTCGCCTGCATCACATGACAACACACACCTGTATGTAAGGGTCACCTGCATCACATGACAACACACAACTGCATGTAAGGGTCACCTGCATCACATGACAACACACAACTGCACGTAAGGGTCACCTGCATCACATGACAGCACACACCTGCATGTAAGGATCACCTGCATCAAGGGTCACCTGCATCACATGACGACACACACACTGCATGTAAGGGTCACCTGCATCACATGACAACACACACCTGCATGTAAGGGTCACCTGCATCACAACTGCATGTAAGGGTCACCTGCATCACATGACAACACACACCTGCATGTAAGGGTCACCTGCATCACATGACAACACACAACTGCATGTAAGGGTCACCTGCATCACATGACAACACACACCTGTATGTAAGGGTCACCTGCATCACATGACAACACACACCTGCATGTAACGGTCACCTGCATCACATGTCAACACACACCTTCATGTAAGGGTCACCTGCATCACATGACAGCACACACCTGCATGTAAGGATCACCTGCATCACATGACAACACACACCTGCATGTAAGGATCACCTGCATCACATGACACACACACCTGCATGTAAGGGTCACCTGCATCACATGTCAACAGACACCTGCATGTAATGGTCACCAGCATCACATGTCAACACACACCTGCATGTAAGGGTCACCTGCATCACATGATAACACACACCTGCATGTAAGGGTCACCTGCATCACATGACCCACACACCTGCATGTAATGGGTCACACCTGCATCACATGACCCAACACACAACTGCATGTAATGGTCACCAACATCATATGACAAAACACACCTGCATGTAATGGTCACCTGCATCACATGACAACACACACCTGGATGTAAGGGTCAATTGCATCACATAACAACACACAACTGCATGTAATGGTCACCAAGATCATATGACAACACACACCTGCATGTAATGGTCACCAAGATCATATGACAACACACCCACACATAGGGGTCACTCACATCACAAAACAAAACACACTCACACACAGGGGTCACTCACATGACGCAACAACACACACTCACACATGGGGGTCACTCACATCACATGACAACACACACTTGCATGTAAGGGTCACCTACGTCACATGACATCCCACGCACATACGAGACGTACGCAACTGCCCCAAGTGTATTACAACCTACCGTTCCCTGCCCGTGAGCCAGTCACGGCTTCGAAATATCTTGATTATTGATGATTACATCAAAGTTATTCATCCGCTGTTAAACTATAAGCAAGGTTTATAACTCAATATCCATCGTCTACATCTCATCCCATTTGTCCCCAAAACCACCCGTACGTTAAGCGTCACACATCAGGAATGCAGTGTCCCGGCAGTCCAGGAGCCCCCGGGGCGTGACTGCCCTACCCCTCTTACCTAGTAGTAGTCTTGTTCTCCATGTTCGCGTCCACCCTCACAGGCTCGTAGGTGGGTTTGTAACTCTCCCGCGTTGGGATCGGATGGGTGGGGTACCGCTTCGAGTACTCGGACAGAAACGGTGCGTTGTCGTCAACATCGATTATACCATTTTGTCTGAAATATCAAATGATACGTTTGACGGCAGATGTCGTTGAGACGGTAGCTGATGATCAGTAAGAAGCACACGCGTTTGCTGTCACGGTATATGCTGTATCGTGCTGATCAAACATAGCCAGTCTGAAGTCTCTGCAAACCGCTGACACGACGTTGTAACCAGTTACTGAGTAATACCTATCTCACGCTCAACACGAACAATCGCCAGAACATGAACATGCGAAAATGAATACATAACGTTTTCAAACATGAAGCATCAGCATTCTTTCATGTCCATTCACAGTTATAATTATCAATTTTAAAAAACACACTCGACTCAGTTTAAAATGACTTTTTCTATTGTCGATTACAATAGTAGTTCCCCAACGAGAATAATAACACTCCCATATGTCAAGGAGCTATATTCTAAACGGCTGCACCATTTGCATTTTGTTCAGGTGGCTGTTGATAGCAACAGCACTACATAAGCAACCTGTCGTGGGCATAAATAGGTATATGTCACAACTGCCAAGTGCATTATATCGTGTAGGCTACAGCTAATTATGGCATACATGTACAACAGACCGGCTGAAACGTGAAGCCGACTCTCTGTACATGTTTGAATTGCAAAGCGTTCGATTTCATTGAAATACGAGGTCTTGTCATGGAATTAATTTCTTCCTAACCAGGACATAAAATATTCATTTTTATTAAGGCGATAGTTGTCAACGGCAATGAATGGATGAAACCTACTTAAAATTAACCAATAGCTTGTCCAGTACGTTCAACCACCTGTCAATCATTGCGTGAAATACGCAAGCTCAGGTGCCTGGGAAGCATGACAATGGGTTCAGTAATGTACCTTGGCCCAATGTTCCGCGACTTCGTACTACATACACAGCATTCATTTCAACAAAACAATGAATTGGCAATCAGTTTAGTGAGCTGATGGTGGTTAATCATGATTTCTACAACTCGAGATGTGTGTTGCCACCTGAACCAAGAGTTTTTGCCATTATAGCAACCACTCCTCCTCCTTAACCCGTGAAGATCCGGGGTAGAATTGGTATTCAGGAATTCATGCTTGTCGTAATAGGCGATTAACGGGATCGGGTGGTCAGGCGTGCCAACTTGGTTGACACATGTCAACGTATCCCAATTGTGTAGAACGATGCTCAGTGTTGATCACTAGATTGTCTGGTCTAGACTCGATTATTTACAGACCGCCGCCATATAGCTGGAATATTGCTGAGTGCAGCGTTAAACAACAAACCAACCAACCCCCTACCTCCACCACCTCCTCCTCCTCCTCCTCCTCATCATCATCATCATCAACAACAACAGCAACAACAATGCTATGCATCATCGTTGTATTCGTCGCTGCTTGAGTTGTTTGTCATATTTTGTCGTTTAATTAATATTACAAGTGTGGTTACATTGTGATTATAACTCTTAATTATGACCACTATTAGCCGTATTTCACGTTTAACACGTCCTTGGAGACCAAGCGCTACAACTGGCCTTCAATTATTTACAACCCGTCATTACGTGCCATATGTGTAGTGCAGTATATCACACGTAAACCTAGTTACATGGTGTATGTCACTGCTAAAGTAGCGTCCCTAGATACCAGACTAGCGTACTACATGTTATTAGCCGCGCTCTTGGTTACACGACCAGCAGTATTCTGGGCGTGAAAACAGATGGAGATACGTTAAAATTCAGCTGCATGAAATTCACGGGGTTTTAAATACATTTGTAGTTGTGTCTGTTGTGTTTTAATGATATTTGACCTTCGGACCGTAAGATCCCTGAACCATCTATATATGTGAATTACTCAATTCATCACTACATGCGTCTAGATTGACCCGTCCAATTATTTCAATAGTACTTTTTATTTTCCCGATTGTAGTTTTCAATAAAATACTTTCATGATATTTCTTTAACTGCGATAACATATCTACAATGAAAAACAAGGTATTTCCCCATGGAAGAAATTATAAATAATATACATTAAGTATGATAAATAAATAACACAGGTAAATGTGCATCCCGCTGTATTTTAGGAACATTTTAGGAAGATCAGGGTTAGAATTGATATTCAGTAATCCATGCTTGTCGTTAGAGGCGACTAAGGGGATCGGGTGGTCAGACTCGCTGACTTGGTTGACATATTGCGTATATCGATTATTGACAGACCACCGCCATATAGCTGGAATGTTGCTGAGCGCGGCGTTAAACAACAGCCAACAAACGCCATGTAAGCCTGTATACAGAGATACACCCACTGCACATAGGCATGTCTTCGGAGATACAACCACTGCACACGGGCATGTATTCGGAGATACACCCACTCCACATAGGCATGTATTCGGAGATACACCCACTGCACATAGGCATGTCTTCGGAGATACACCCACTGCACACGGGCATGTATTCGGAGATACACCCACTCCACATAGGCATGTATTCGGAGATACACCCACTGCACATAGGCATGTCTTCGGAGATACACCCACTGCACAACACCTTCAGGCGTTCTTGGTCGATTTCAAACATGTCAATCAAAATATACAATGAAAATAAGTTATCTAATCTGCTTACTTCGTCAGGTAACATTCCGCCAAACAAATGTTACTCGAACTATGGTCATACGACGTATACAAGTCAACAGCGTGTTACTGTCTCATTACACGCAACAATCAACCTATAGATAATCGAATCCCGATCAGATAAACCACTGATCAACAGCAAGAGCACGGACGCCGGGACACGGTGACCTACAATCAGCGAACAACCCAGTTCTCATTAGTCGGGTGGTCAGGGCGCCTCGGTTGAAGCCTGCTATTGTATCCCAACAGCGTAAATCGATGCTCATGGTGTCAAACACTGGAATATTTACATATACATTTGTAGCTTGAAAATTACAGAGCGACAAAAAAAACAAATCATCAGTCAGGTTGGGCTGTACTAATATACTAAGGTAAACATTCTGACGTAGAAAGCCCGCCGCTCATCTCTTACAAGTTACAGCTCGACTCTTGTTGATATAGCTTTTGTGTACTGTCAATATATACTAGCCTTATTTTTGGTACACATGCATTATACCGGATACCTGCAGGCCATTTTTAATTAGGTCACGTGATGCGAGCGCGGAAAGGTGAAAAAAAATAAAACTGAGATGAAAATAACCCTAACCCTAACCCTAATCCTAACCCCTAACCTAACCCTAACCCTAACCCTAACCCCTAACCTAACCCTAACCCTAACCTAACCCTAACCCTGGGTATCCGGTATAATGCATTTTAGCATTATTTTTTCAAACTCACCAATGTTGATATTATGCCACGAACAGAGACAGTGAGGAACAGACGACCAAGCGACGCTACTTCCTCGTTGCGACAATCATTACTACGGCATAGGTGATGATGTGACGTCATAAACAAAGGAACGCTATAATTGTGACGTCATTTCACATATTTCATGACGAACGTCGCGTCAAGAGCTTTATATACGATTCGTTCATTTAGTTATGATTTTAATTATACTTGTTCAGTTATTGCTCAATATAGATATATTATTCTTCAGTTTAAACTATTTCATCCTCTGATCACGTATCTATGAGATCAGTCGTAAACAATTCAATCATTTCTTCCAATTGGTTGCTTTGCATATGAACAAAAATTCTGTGTAGGCATGTTTTCAAGGTACTTCTCAGAGTACAGAATAACAATAACATGCCCATACTAGTGGGGTTATGTTATTGTGATAAATACGACTCAGGGATCTGTCAAAATTCGTGAATACAATGTTTCAATTTGACGGAAGAGTTAACTCTTTAATTCTGCACTGAAGAGTGAGTGAGTGTGTGAGTATGGTTTTACGCCGCTTTTAGCAATATTCCAGCAATATCATGGCGGGGGAGACCAGCAATGAGCTTCCCACATTGTACTCATGTGGGGAATGGAACCCGGGACTTTGGCGTGACGTGCGAACGCTTTAACCGCGAGGCTACCCCGCCGCCCTCTGCACTGAAGAACAGATAATAGATAAGATATATAGGCCATGATAGTCGGGTAAAGTTATAAGTCGTCACAGATATTAATGTTCCGATAGCATTAGGGCCATTTTTCATAGTGACATTATCTACATACTGATCTTATATTCACTTATTCAAGTCATTCTGAAAAAGGGAGTCTATTCTCTCCACTATGGCGGTTGTAAATATCCATTAATAAAAGTTTCTTCTATGTAATATTTAATTAATAAATACCAACATGATAAGTAAATATATGTTAAATGTAAACGTGGAATATGATATGCTGTGCGAAATGTGACTCGTATGTCTACATGGAGACGCTTGTACGTCCAGAAACAGGTATATACTAGCCGTTGGAACATCAAAAATGTCTTCCAAACACTCTCACAGCAATATGATCTGGTGCGTGTTAACGAAGCTTTCAGTACGACAGTATATCTCACGTCACATGTCGTCTGTCACATTAGCTTTACCGCGCACTGAGAGTATTTGTGAGCGTCTTTGTCGCTTTCATATGGGTTATTTGACAACTATGAGAATCTTATGAATGGTTTGTAAAAGTAGCATTGATAAGACATACTGACGATAGCATACTTCTGCACTGAAGAGCAGAGGCCATTTGCGCACGACCCCATTTTCCTTTGTTGTGCAGACGACATGAACATTAACAGATAGAGAGCCCCTCCCAACTCCACAGAAATGTACTAACGATAATTGAAGCTTACCTTCTCGCCATTTTGGCCCTTTCTTAAATCCCACTTATGTAACAAGCCTGATCAACACATCGCCAGTCCGAGCACTGCGGCGAAGGTATGTAGCGGGACACCACTGAGTCGTTGCTAGGCAAGCGTCGTCTGCGTGTTTAGACTTCCCTCCTTAGCAACGGTGGGAAGGTTTGTTGTGAGCGTAACGAGTGCACTGTAAAATCGACCGACAAATCTGTCTCGCTCTTCTTCAATCATTTCAACACAGAAGTCACAACAACACAATGGCACTTCATTTGTGTTCGAGTCTCGAACATGGACGTTGGTCAGAAGTGCTCTATTCAGGAAGTAATTGCCATGTAGAGTGAACGCTAAATGAAGCGTGTGTTTTATGTCAATAATGTTCTTGTCACGCATTATCAACTTGTCACTGGTGTCCAGCGGCTTTATCGGCCTTTAGGAAGAAATTTAGCCCAGGTGTTGCTTGATTTAGGCGTGCTTCATTTGCCTAAACTATTCTCATGATTATACCTCATATACAGGCCCAGCATATTGTGCTACTCAGATGGTGTATAAGTCAACTGTTAAAATACATTAATTAAAATGTACAATGATATATACAAAATGTGGGCGATGCAGGCCACCTATGACATTATTACTGTTGATCTTTAGTGTTCCTTTATTCCAACCTTTAATTCCTTCTTCAATGTTTATTATCCTTTTTCATTATATATTTATATTTTTATTTATTTTATTTTTGGTATGTATATTTTTGGTAGATGTTGAGAGGGTTGACGATGAAGAAGATAGAATGTAAAGGGGGTGATGAAGACCATAAAACTGTGGTGGCAGTGGTATATAGAGGATCTCAACCGAGTGTCTTTTGATATCAAATATATCACCACGAGTTGATAAAGTTACAAATATCCGAAGCTTGCCGAGGATATTTTACTTTTATCAACGAGTGTTGATATTTGATATCAGAAGACACGAGAGTGAGATTCTATTTATCATAAAAAAACACTCTTTATTAGTTTTCAATGAAAAATGTACATCACTGAACACGGTACTGCTATTAGACTTGCAGTGCAGTGATGTCATATCATTGTGACGTCATCAAGTTCAAGACGTCATAGCATTGTCAGGGCATTGTACAAAATCTACTGTCTCCTACGAGATATCGTTTGATCTCACACAAGCAATATCTCCTGAGGAACACAGTTTTTGATGATAAATCATTATTATAATCGTAATAAATAGTATTATTGTTATGACCACCTCCACCACCACCACCATCATCATCATCAATGTAAGGTTACGTCAATGTGAAGTTATTTTAAGGTTAAGATACACAATGTCAAAAACCACATCGAAAAGCTCATTACATCTAATGTCATGACGACAAACAGACGTCCTCTGAACATCCAATACACTTAACACTGGTTTCACGCCAACGGATATCGGGTATTTACGAACCCCTCGTTCCAAGCTAGATCCGGATTATCTACAACCATAACACAGGCACCTTACCCAAACAACCCTGCGCCAACACAATACCGTGTGGATGGTGTGGACGGATTTCCCAATGGTATTAATAGGGACTAAGTAAATATTATTATAGTTTTATTATCCCCGTCGTTATGGCGATCGCATGTAGCCTACCGTCTCACACAGGTACTCGGTGCGAGGACAAATGTAATCACGTCCTACACTATATCAGCTTACATATACATTCCGTACGTGCGTATGTTACACTTTGTCTTTTGTAAAGATTTGTGTTTGGTACTGATGTATATTATTGAGTTTGTCCAAGTATTTGCCTGAAACAACGGCAACAGTAGCGACACCAGTTTCGTTCGTGACTGTTGTCTAAGTTATCAAATTGATTTTCAAATGTCAAGTCAACGAACGGCAAAAGAAACGTGACTTCTGATTTGCGTAGATTCGGGGAACGCATCTATTTTTATCTCAGTCTAAAATTTTATTCAAGGTTGGCATGAATACAAATGTCAAAAAGCCTCAGAGTTTCAAACCCTAGTGGGTTTCACTGAATCCATGTGTCACATCCTAGAGGGTCTCACTGAATCCATGTGGCAGGCCCTACAGGGTCTCACTGAATCCATGTGGCAGGCCATATAGGGTCTCACTGAATCCATGTGGCAGGCCCTATAGGGTTTCACAGTTCCAAACCCTAGTGGGTCTCACTGAATCCATGTGTCAAACCCTAGTGGGTCTCACTGAATCCATGTGGCAGGCCCTATAGGTCCCACTGAATCCATGTGGCAGGCCCTAGTGGGTCTCACTGTATCCATGTGGCAGGCCCTAGTGGGTCTCACTGAATCCATGTGTCACATTCTAGAGTGTCTCACTGAATCCATGTGGCTAACTGTACAGTGTCTCATTGAATCAATGCGTCATACGATACAAGGTGTTATTGAATCTATTTGTCATACCCTACATGCGCTGACTGAATCCATGTGTCATACTCTCGTGTGTCTCACTGAATCCATGTGTCATACTCTCGTGTGTCTCAGTGAATCAATGTGTCATACCCTACAGGGTCAAATTGAATCTATGCGTCATATTGTAGAAGCATCGTTGAATCCTTGTTTCAGACATAGATCTAGAGCGTCTCATTGAACCTCTGTTTCAAACCCACAGTATTCTTCGTTTTCGCCAACAAAAGCGAGACAACTTGATTTGTATCATAAGTCAGCGGTGAGTCAACAGTAAGATTTGTAA